AAAGGGAAGGAGGACTTGTGGCACCTTAGAGACTAACGAATTTATATGAGCATAAGCTTCCGTGAGCTACAGCTCACTTCATCAGATGCATGCTGTGTAAAATACAGTGAGCCCGTTGCCAACTGTGTCCACATATCTATTCGGGGACACCATCATAGGGCCTAATCACATCAGCCACACTATCAGAGGCTCGTTCACCTGCACATCCACCAATGTGATATATGCCGTCATGTGCCAGCAATGCCCCTCTGCCATGTTCATTGGCCAAACTGGACAGTCTCTACGTAAAAGAATAAATGGACACAAATCAGATGTCAAGAATTATAACATTCAAAAACCAGTCGGAGAACACTTCAATTTCTTTGGTCACTCGATTACAGACCTAAAAGTGACAATTCTTCAACAAAAAAACTTCAAAAACAGACTCCACAAGAGACTGCTGAATTGGAATTAATTTGCAAACTGGATACAATTAACTTAGGCTTGAATAGAGACTGGGAGTGGGTGGGTCATTACACAAAGTAAAACTATTTCCCCATGTTTATTCCCCCCACACACACACACACAGTGTTCCTCAGACATTCTTGTCAACTGCTGGAAATGGCCCACCTTGATTATGACTACAAAAGGTCCCCCTCCTCCCCCCGCTTTCCTGCTGGTAATAGCTCACCTTACCTGATCACTGTCCTTACAATGTGTATGGTAAAATCCATTGTTTCACGTTCTCTGTGTATATAAATCTCCTCACTGTATTTTCCACTGAATGCATCTGATGACGTGAGCTGTAGCTCAAAAAAGCTTATGCTCAAATAAATTGGTTAGTCTCTAAGGTGCCACAAGTCCTCCTTTTCTTTTTGGGGATACAGACTAACACAGCTGCTACTCTGAAATCTGTGAAAGGGGTCACCAATACAAAAGTTTGAGAACCAGTGAATTAGAACAATGCTGAACACCTTTGAAAAGCCTACCCTAGAGCTCTCTGTGTGCTGTATAGATTTCTAAGCAGGTGGATGCTTCCTGGTCAAAAAGAGATACAACGCTGGAACTCAAGCTGTGTGGACATCTGTTTGTGTCTACGATGGGTAGTTTTCTTTAACAAATACCTTCTGTTTAAGATGGACCAGGAATCCTTGTATCAGGACAGTGGTGCTGCTCCCTTGGAAAAATAATATTAGGTCTGATTCTGTTTTTATTGAAGTCAGTGCAAAGCTACCATCAATTTCAGTGTGTGGAGGAGTAGGTCTATATTGAGCAGTACTCCTGAAAATAGAATAAGAGACTGATTTATATAGTGAAAGGTAACTGACTGGCTCCTGTGGTCAATCTTATGTTGACTAGAAGGGTCCTTTGGCTAGAAACCCACAGTAGTACTGACCTTGACCTCCAGCATGACTATCATATGTGTGATTCTGTGTTCAATTTGACTTCTCGCAGAGGTGAGGGAGTGTTTCTGCAAAACACCTGCTCTACAGTCCTTTCTGTCTATCAAGTTCTGTCTCCTCTGCATGGTCGCAGCTACTAGTCCCCTGCCTGCTGAATGCTGTTATGTGTGGCTCTAGTGTCAGGACCTGCCCTTTTATGGAGTTGAAGCTTACCTAAAACCCAGCTGGCAATGCAATGCAAACTATTTCCTGCTGCAATCATTGCTATTTAGCTATACATGACTTGGCTGAGGCCAAGATTTTCAAAAATGGGTGCTTTAAGTTAGGCTTCTAAATCCATATTTAGGCACCAAATCAAGTGGCCTGATTTTCAAAAGTGCTGCTGAGCACCTGGTAGCTCCCATTGTCTTTAAGCAACCTTTTTGCCAGCTAGTCTAGTCTTTGGAGTAACTCAGAGAAGTTTCAGAGAAATGCTACATTTCTATGGCCCCAAGGGGCCCTCCTTGCAACTGAGGACAGTGAGAGCACAGTGATGCTCTAGCCACACCCTCTCTCTCCCCTCTGGTAAAAGCTGTGTAGTGTAGACTGAGCGCTACATGGGCTCCACACATGCACCAGGGGATTCTCCAGATATCCTATTAAAACAGCATCCTGGCTGTTTTGCACCACTGGAGCAGACTTTAGGTTAAATGCTGCTCTCCCAGTTCCATCAGCGATTTCAGTGGAGTTAATCCAGCCTTATACCAGTGTAAGAGAGAGCAGCATTAGACCCGCAGTATTGGCCTTAGCACCTAGATTTTGTAAAATATTTGATCAACATTTTTGTGATTTAATAGAGACTTAGAAATTTTTGTTCATAGAAGAGCAAAATTAGATAAAAAAGGGGAAATACATACAGTAGTATGGTTATATATTCATCTGAAAAATACCTCTGAAAGGGCTCAGATGATATATGCTGGGCTAACATACTGTGTTGTTCGGATGAGGAAACATGTTCATTAAAGTGTAACTTACAGAAACATATGTCTTATATATTTTGGTTATATTCCTGGATGTAAATAAGAGCATGCAAAGTTTTAGTTTATCAGTAGCATTAAATAGGCAAGTTAACATATGAGAAAAGTTATATGCATTTTAGGAGGAAAGTTCACCAACTGATCCTTTTGGTAGAGGAGTAAACATAGGTTGGCATGCTAAGACATCATAATTACATGCTAAATAATCATACTGGAAGTTTTCTGCTACATCTAACCCAGTTATTAAATCTTTTTAGAAGGCCTGTGAGCTAAAATTGTTCTAAGTGGCAACCAACCCAGTGGTGCAGCACCAAAACAAAGTTCTGTCATGTGCAAGACCCTGGTTCAAAGACAGGAAAAGTATCATAGGCTTTAGGCTAGTAAAGGCTAGACATGGTGATTCAGTTCTCTGGGAGAAGACAGTGAGCAGTTCCAAGTGCCCAGCCTAAATGTGGTGCTCCTAGATGGAGAGTCCACCACAGATTGAACCCTGCCCTACTGGCCACAGAGAAAGGATATTAAATACATATCAGTGGGGAGGAAGAGACATGAAAATGTGGAGGAAAAATGTGCAGTAAAATCTTTCCTGCATGCTAATTGTAACTTTGGCATTCTCTAAAGGATACGTGACTAAAAACACAAACCAGTGGTACAAATTTGCAAATGATTCAGCTAACTCATATAATTGTTATCAGAACCTTGAAAAGACAGCAACCAAGGGTCGTTTGCTCTCTGGACAGAACTGGTATAATAGTACACATGGAAATGTTTTAAACGATCATCGAATCTCTGAAATGTGGAGCTGGAAAGGACCTTGAGAGGACATTGAGCCCAGCCCCCTGTACTGAAGCAGAATCAAGTAAACCTAGACCATCCCTGACAAGTGTTTGTCCAACCTGTTCTTAAAAACCTCCAATGATAGGAATTCCACTACATCCCTTTGAAGCCTATTCCAGAACTTAACTAACCTTATAGTTAGAAAAGTTTTCCTAGTATCAAACCTAAATCCCCCTTGATACAGAACAATTGATCACCATCCTCTTTGTAACAGCCCTTAACATATTTGAAGACTGTTATCAAGTCCCCCCTCAGTCTTTTTTTCTGAAGACTAAACATGCCCAGTTTTTTTAACATTTCCTCAGAGGTGAGGTTTTCTAAACTTTTTTTAATTTTTGTTGCTCTGCTCTGGCATGTCTCCAATTTGTCCACATCTTTCCTAAAGTGCGCTGCCCAGAACTGGACACAGTACTCCATCCAGAGCCGTCCCGTCCATAGGATGGGGCAACCACCCAGGGCCCCACGCTTTGGGGGGGGGGGAGGCGTGCTTCAGGGGGACATGGCATCCAGGACAGCCTGGGGGAATAGCGGGGGGCCTTGTGCCGGCAGCAGCAAGCACCCTGGCCCCAGCCTCGCTCAGGGGAGGGGGCGGAAGCCAGAAAGAGGAGGGGTGGGAGCTTGAAGGAAGGAGTGGAATGGGGGCAGGATGGAGCAGGGGCAGGAAGAGGTGAGGCGGGGGCTTGGGGTGGAGTGGGGGCAGATGAGGGGGTAGTCCCGGGCCCCGCACCCTCTTAGGGACAGCCCTGACTCCAGCTGAGGCCTCACCAGAGAGGGAAAATTGCTTCCATGTCTTAGAAATTACATTCCTATTAATATAGAATATCAGGGTTGGAAGGGACCTCAGGAAGTCATCTAGTCCAACCCCCTGCTCAAAGCAGGACCAATCCCCAATTTTTGCCCCATATCCCTAAAGGGCCCCCTCAAGGAGAGAACTTACAACCCTGGGTTTAGCAGGCAAATGCTCAAGCCACTGAGAGCTTCCCCCAGGCCAATCTCACCTTTTTTTTGCAACTGCATCACATTGTTGGCTCATGTTCCATTTTTCATCCACCATCAGATTCTTTTCAACAGTACTACCACTTAGTCAGTTATTCCCCAGTCTGTAGTTGTTCATTTGATTTTTCCTTAGTAGGTGAAGTACTTTGCACTTGTCTTTATTGAATTTCATCTTGTCTAAATCAAAACAGTTCTCCAATTTGTCAAGGTTGTTTTGAATTCTTTGATCTACTATTTTCAAGCAAGAATTAAAAGTAAAATGCAAGCATCACACTTGTGATACAGAGGGCCATATTTAGGCTGCATTTACACTAAAGCAACTTTATTAGCTTGAATTATGTCCCTCTGCATTTACATCACTGTAAATTAGATTAGACTCTAGCCTGGAATGTGATGCAAATAATTAGTTTCCCCTAAGAAATTGGAATCTTTTGATATCCAATACATTCAAATAAGTGCAAAATTTTGTAAGCCATATCATGCCATCAAAATTAAAGCACTATTTCCCTCCTCAGAATCAATGGGGAATTCTGCTTAAAATTGATGGTTTAAATGATCCAGTAATTTTATTTTACTATGGTTTTCACAAATATTCTAATCATGTAAGCGAAAGGTCTATAAAACATCTGTTTCCAAGGCTATAGAACTGACAGGAACACTTACACTAAACTACTTACAGTATAACAGGTTCCAGGGTCTTTACTGTTGAAAGAACGGATGATGAGCAAATATGAAGCTAATTTTTGTTATTGTCCTTTATTCATCTTAGATCTGCACTGGATTTTCTGCATCTTGGAGAACAGTAGAAGTACCTCCTCTCCCTTTAATGCTATTACATCTAGTCCTGGGAATTTCCATAGGAGTAGCACAGAGATCTTCATCAGAAACATTACAGAAAACTACAATAAAAACACTAATGAAAAACTCTATCTGACCCTGAAGTTGTCTGCAGTAACAGAGAAATCCTGGATTCCAGCAACTCCCTATCAATACTTCAGTACCACAGAAGAGGTAAGGCAGACAAGTTAATTGGAATATACTGGGCCTGGTTTTCAGTCATTCCGTATCTGTATCAAATGCATTGACAAGAAGCTTGAAAATGCCAGGGGACATATTCAGAGTAAGTGCAGTCCAGCTGAGCGGGCAGAGGACAGGGTGCTATTTCTGATTCTCCAGTTGGCATGCTGTGTGAGCTGTGGTTCCATCTCTATTGAAAAGAAAAGTGCTATTCCAACCTTATGAGCCTGATTTTCAGCTGTTTTGCAGGTGCAAGTAATCCTATGTGCAATTTAGGTAGTTGAGTTAAATACATGGTTTTCAGGTATACGCGGGTGATGTCTGAATGACTTAAATAATTGTGAGCTAGATTCAGCCTGGCTCTTATGTCGGGGATATGCAGTGTGGAGATGGTGTAAAGAACTTTTTCACTGCCACCTTGCGTAAGTGTTAGGCAAAAGTACAAGCCCTGTACTCAGGGAACCACAGAGGTTGCTCTTTCCTTGCTTCACTTAGGGCCCACTCACCCACAGGGGGAGAGCAGAGATGGGAAGGAGGCAGACTTTTTATGCATAGGCCAGAAAAACCAGCAAAGAGTACTAAGTTTCACCCTGTAAAAGGATGTAGCAGTGCACATGCGGACTCTATAGGATGCCTTCCACCCTTCCCTCTGTGTGCATCTCTGCAAGGTACAGTCAAGTACTGTAAGAGAAAAACACAGTGTGTGGATGCAAAAACACAGATCATCTGTAAAAATCTGGCTATGTGCAGGCAGTAAGGTTTAAAGAATGTGATATGTAATTTGTTATATCACTGCTACAGATATACTGATGTTTCAAATCCCTTCAATTCCATGTTGCTTCTATTGCCATGGGATATTTTCTGTGCTAAAAGGTTGGAATGGGCAAATAAAAGTGTTTAGTCATTACTTTAGGTGACAGCATTACTTTGGATGAGACTGGGAAATGTGCTTTGTATCTGCCCAGTTTTGTATGTATTCCAGTAGAACTTACTACCATGCAGCTGTTTGGAGTGCTCTATAACAGTTTTCTGTTTATTCAATGGTCTTCACTGTAAAGGTGAAATTCACCCTGATTCAGTGGGCCTGCCCAAGGATGTCAGCACCACCTAGGCTTTGCTGGGGGTGGGGGCATGGGGGGGAATGGATGGACTGTGGATGGAGAGGCCTCGAAGCGAGGCCTCTACATCCCTGGTTTGCCACAAAGAGCATCTCTGCACCCATTCTGCATAAGCTGGTGTGGAGGGCAGCGCGGGAGGTAGACGGGGGAGCAATGTGAGCCAGGACTATGCAGATCCAGAATCCAAACACACACAAAACGTGTAGAGAGGCTGTAGCTGCTATCCCAGCATATAGGCTGGAGCAACTGCAGCAAGAGGTAAAGTTGCTGCACTGCAACCCCGCAGTCTGGTGCTGAGCTGAGGGAGGATTTTGCACCCAGGTATGATTTGATTTTTCAGGTTTCATGCAAGTGAATTAGATGTACATTATACATCAAGCTAGCTGTCTCACACACACCATTAAGGTACATGCACTCCAACTAGAACGCTAAGGGCCTACTGGTAACTTCACTCTGAATCGAAATATTACACAAAATCTTTTGTTGTTAATAGCAAACTTACACTCTGCCTCCCCACACTGCCACAAAGTACCCCCATCAAAGTTTTAGAAAAATCAGGCTACATCATGATCTAGTGAACTAGGAATTCCTAAATTCTAGTCCTGGTTTTGTCAATGATTCACATCAGTGGACTTCAGCAAATCACATAGGTCAAATTTTTCAAGCCTAGAGGCCTAAAGTGAAGCACTTAAATCCATATTAAGCATTTACATAAAAGTGATCTAATTTTTGGAGGTATTGAGCACCTGCAGCTCCCAGCTACATCAAGCCACTTTAATTTAGGTGCTTCGCTTTAGACATACAAGTTTAACATTTTTGGCCTTAAACTGCTGGTCTTTCAGTTTCCCTGTCTGTAAAATGGGGTTAAAACATTTATTTGTCCACTTGCCATGGGTGTTTAAAGGATTGTATAATGTTTGTACAATGCTTTGAAAATAGAAAAAGCTATATAAGTACGTAATATCATTGTTAGGAACACAATGATGTCTGTGAACAGTACCAACACAGGCCAGTCTCCATAGCTTACAGAATAAAAGCCTTGACGTTGTTTGCCTGTGAACAAACCCATTTTGGGGGGACAATGGCGGCACTTGAATCAAACAAAATGTTTAGTTTAGAGCAGCTCTGGGTTGCAAGTAAATCTGCAGCTTGTACTTTCAAAGCTGTGACAAAAGCTATGCAAAGCCCATTTCCTTCTGATTAAAAAAAGAGAGAGAGCACAGTTGGTGTTTAAAAAAAAAGAAAAAAAAAAGCCAGGAAACCTTGGGAAAGTGTCTGAAAAAGACTGGAGCCTGCTATTAGACACACATCCGGGCACTCCCAAAACTCACTTCCAGCTTTTTTAAAAAAAAATAAAATTCTTGGCTGAGCAGACTGATTCAGTAACTGCTAAGGGCCATGCTTACTGATTTACTAAGAGTGTGTCTGTTCAGTACCAACTTAGAATTAATTCTTTGGTATTATGCTGTTTATTCTGTTAAAATATAATACCATCAGTGGCCTATCCTATCCCTTATTCCAGTGTTGGGATAGACATCTCTGGCAATCCTTACCCTTGAGTGTCACTGTCCTCTGCAATATACAGAAGGATTCCTGGAAGTTCACACATCTATACTTATTTTCCAATGAAAATACAGGAAGGGTGAGGCTTTTAAAGCCTTTTCAATTGCAGGGGTAACAATCAATCAGTCAATCAATAAAAAAAGAACTGCTTCTCAATTTAAGGACAACACAGAAAAAGCAGCAGCATCCTCTTACTTGTGAATCTCCCAGGATGAAATTTTGAAATTTGGCTCTCTTTTGCCATAGAGCACAATACAACTGAATTATTCTGGTTGGAAACAACCTCTTCAGGAGAATTCAGTCCTTTTAGGTAAAATTCAACATTTGGTTGAAGCTCTGAAACTTCTCCTGATTTCATTAAGACCAATTGGTAAACGAAAGGGCAATGGGTTGATTGTCTAGAAACGTACCTGCAAATTTGATCAAAAAAAGTTTGCCATGTTCCTCAAACACAGATTTTTCTTCTTTCATTCCAAATGTATATTTAGTTTATGTATTTTTAAAAAGAAAAGGAGTACTTGTGGCACCTTAGAGACTAACCAATTTATTTGAGCATAAGCTTTCGTGAGCTACAGCTCACTTCATCGGATGCATTCAGTGGAAAATACGGTGAGGAAATTTATATACACACAGAACATGAAAAAATGGGTGTTTATCATGCACGCTGTATGGAGAGTGATTACTTAAGATAAGCTATTACCAGCAGGAGGGGGGGGAGAGAAAACCTTTTGTAGTGATAATCAAGGTGGGCCATTTCCAGCAGTTAACAAGAACGTCTGAGGAACAGTGTGGGGGGGGGGGGGAATAAACAAGGGGAAATAGTTTTACTTTGTGTAATGACTCAACCACTCCCAGTCTCTATTCAAGCCTAAGTTAATTGTATCCAATTTGCAAATTAATTCCAATTCAGCAGTCTCTGTTTTTGAAGTCTTTTTGTTGAAGAATAGCCACTTTTAGGTCAGAAATCGAGTGACACTAAACTGGGAGGAGTGGTAGATATGCTGGAGGGTAGGGATAGGATACAGAGGGACCTAGACAAATTGGAGGATTGGGCCAAAAGAAATCTGATGAGGTTCAACAAGGACAAGTGCAGAGTCCTGCACTTAGGACGGAAGAATCCAATGCACCGCTACAGACTAGGGACCAAATGGCTCGGCAGCAGTTCTGCAGAAAAGGACCTAGGGGTGACAGTGGACAAAAAGTTGGATATGAGTCAACAGTGTGCCCTTGTTGCTGAAAAGGCCAATGGCATTTTGGGATGTATAAATAGGGGCATAGCCAGCAGATCGAGGGACGTGATCGTTCCCCTCTATTCGATGTTGGTGAGGCCTCATCTGGAGTACTGTTTCCAGTTTTGAGCCCCACACTACAAGAAGGATGTGGAAAAATTGGAAAGAGTCCAGCGGAGGGCAATAAAAATGATTAGGGGACTGGAACACATGACTTATGAGGAGAGGCTGAGGGAACTGGGGATGTTTAGTCTTCAGAAGAGAAGAATGAGGGGGGATTTGATAGCTGCTTTCAACTACCTGAAAGGGGGTTCCAAAGAGGATGGCTCTAGACTGTTCTCAGTGGTAGCAGATGACAGAACAAGGAGTAATGGTCTCAAGTTGCAGTGGGGAAGATTTAGGTTGGATATTAGGAAAAACTTTTTCACTATGAGGGTGGTGAAACACTGGAATGTTTTCAGTGGAATCTCCTTCCCTAGAAGTTTTTAAGATCAGGTTTGACAAAGCCCTGGCTGGGATGATTTAGTCGGGGATCGGTCCTGCTTTGAGCAGGGGGTTGGACTAGATGACCTCTTGAGGTCGCTTCCAACCCTGATATTCTATGATTCTATGACCAGAGAGATTGAAGTGTTCTCCGACTGGTTTATGAATGTTATAATTCTTGACGTCGGATTTGTGTCCATGTATTCTTTTACGTAAAGACTGTCCAGTTTGACCAATGTAATAAACCAATAATCCCCTCTGCCATGTACATTGGTCAAACTGGACAGTCTCTACATAAAAGAATACATGGACACAAATCCGACGTCAAGAATTATAACATTCATAAACCAGTCGGAGAACACTTCAATCTCTCTGGTCACTCGATTTCTGACCTAAAAGTGGCTATTCTTCAACAAAAAGACTTCAAAAACAGACTCCAACGAGAGACTGCTGAATTGGAATTAATTTGCAAATTGGATACAATTAACTTAGGCTTGAATAGAGACTGGGAGTGGTTGAGTCATTACACAAAGTAAAACTATTTCCCCTTGTTTATTGCCCCACCCCACCACCACTGTTCCTCAGATGTTCTTATTAACTGCTGGAAATGGCCCACCTTGATTATCACTACAAAAGGTTTTCTCCCCCCCCCCCCCCCCGCTGGTAATAGCTCATCTTAAGTGATCACTCTCCTTATAGTGTGCATGATAAACACCCATTTTTTCATGTTCTGTGTGTATATAAATCTCCTCACTGTATTTTCCACTGAATGCATCCATTGAAGTGAGCTGTAGCTCACGAAAGCTTATGCTCAAATAAATGGGTTAGTCTCTAAGGTGCCACAAGTACTCCTTTTCTTTTTGCGAATACAGACTAACACGGCTGCTTCTCTGAAACCTGTATTTTTAAAGTACATCTTTGCTATAATTTAAGATTCTGAACGTGGTGCATTTACAGAAGGATCTATGTGTGATCTACACAAGTTCAAAAAAAAAACCCAAACAAACAGGTGCTTTTAAACATGCACATGTTGAAATAGGGACCTATAGTTTTTTTCCAGATATGTTATGCTTATAGATCTCTGAAGGTGTGGTGACCATATTGATAATGTTTTGTCATTCTTGGAAGCACTATCACCTCACTGTTTCTAAAAATGATCTTGTAATATCAGAAAGTCTGAGTGGCTAGTGCAGCAACTGACATCACTCAACTTGAATGGATTTTAACAAGATACCGCTATCATTTCAGATCTACATTTATTTTGTTCTAACACACATGCCGTGTGTTACCTATCACACTACTGTTTATCACTTTAGAATAGCACTTTAGAATAGCAGAGACCATAATTTTGTACCGTTTTTGTACAGTGCCTAGCACCATAGGGTCCTGGTCAGTGACTGAGGTTCCTGGCACTACCATACTACAAATAATACATAAAAATAACACTAATCGTATCACTACAGCTTATGAATCACATAGTTGTGGTTACGGAAAATTTTTAGACATGTCACTGAAATTGATCCAGCATGATACCGTGTTTGGGTTGATGCTCAATTTATTGTTTATGTCCTTCATTTTGAGCCAGATTCTGCCACATTTGTTGCAGTGGGATGATGTGCAGAATAACGCGTTGATCGTAATACTGAGCTTTGCATCAGTGGACCCCTGCACACAGTCCCACTGAAATCCATGGAGCTTTGCACAGGTGTGGGAATCCACACTCAGAGAGTTCAGTGTGGGCTCAGAGACCAAGATACTATTCAGCATGAGTAAAACTGTTAGAAGCTTGGCCTTTTCACACTGTTGGATCTTGCTTATCAGACTGATCACTTATTTCTAACAATAGACAGAAATATCCAACAGCCCCCCCTTCCTCCAAGAGGGTTAACAAACAGCTATTTTTAACTCACAGCATTTTTTCATGTCAGTACCCACAGAAGAAAATGTAACAATGCTGCTGAAAAATGTGCTTAATTGTTGATCATGAAAGTTAAAACCCTTGTACATTATATAGTACTGAAAATGCAGAAATATAATATATCCTGTGTAAAGGGGGAAAAAAGCCTACTTTTCTTTTCTAGTGAACTCCAAATTTACCCAATCTGCTTCTATCTTATCTATCCTGATACTGAAGATGTGAAACAATTCTAGGTACAAAGAAAAGGAGTACTAGTGGCACCTTAGAGACTAACCAATTTATTTGAGCATAAATAAATTATGCTCAAATAAATTGGTTAGTCTCTAAGGTGCCACTAGTACTCCTTTTCTTTTTGTGAATACAGACTAAAAAGGCTGCTACTCTGAAATTCTAGGTACCTTACCCCCCCCCCCCCCCCTGTTTACTATGGCTTGAAATGTAGATGAAAGGAAATGGGAGTAAATAGGAGAAGTGGTGGGTTCGGCTGTTGCTTCTGCTTCTTTAGTGTATGACATTCATTTTCTTTGTTCCCTGAGAATCTGGAGACTTTCTTGCTTTCTGTGGTGTGTATTTTTAGTTTCAGAGCTATTCAGGAACTGGGAAGGAGATTGTTTCAACGACAAAAGTTGAGGGGGGGGGGAAGCGGAGATAACTTGACCCTCTTTGATGTACTGATTACTCCTCCATCCATGGAGTTGTGGAGAAATTAAATACCAGGGCATACAAAGCCTTGAACTCTTTTGTGTGTTTTTACAGGTAGAGATTAGACTGGTTTGAATATGCTAGAAAAACAACGAATGAGTATGTTGACTGCTGGTTATTTAATCTTGGGCACTGCTGAAATGACACTGTGGGGCACAGAGAGAATGAAGGAGGGGCTGAAAAACTTAGCCAGAAAGTTGCACTCTCCAGATGATGACTTTGCAGAGACACCCCCAGTCTCTAGACAGATGGGAAAGGAGGTTTGAACACAATCTGTGTAAAGCCCAGGTTGGCAAAGGAGAACGTGTGGGGGGGGGGGGGGCTGGGAAAGTGAACTGGATGGGACCCGGGGTGAGGCAAGTGTGAAACGAGACGGTTTACATAAGAGATTCCGATGGGCGTGGGGAGGGGGAGAGAAGCTCAGGGCAATGAGCATCTGGTCGCTCCCGAGTCAGAAATAGCCCTGGGATAGGAGCGGAGCCCCGGGAGAAAGCAGATGAGGGAGGAAGATAGGAAGGAAGAGGGCTGGGGGAGAGGAAAGTGAAGGGGGAGAAGCGAGAGGCGCTGAGCCTAGCACCAGGAGGAAGGAGCGGAGGAAAGTGAAAGTCTTGGAGCAGGCTGAGGGGGGCACAGGGGGCAGCCCGGCCTGGGCGCCCTGCCGGCCGCAGACATTGGCTCCTGCCCCCCCCCCCCTTGTGCCTCTGGAGAGGGACGCAAGGAAATTGCCTTTTGATTGCGGAAGTCGGCGGCCAGGGCTGAGGCAGAGTCAGCCGGGGTCAGCATGGCAGCGTGGGAAGTGCTGCGGCGAGCTGCCTCTTCCTCCTCCTCCCGGAGCCTGCAGCCGGCCGCGGGCAGCCCCTGCGCACCCCCTGCCCGAAGGAAACCTCAGGGAGCCCGGGGCCCCCCCTGAGCGCATGCGACAAGTGCCCTGCCCCGCAGAGGGCTGCCCCTCGCGCACTAGCCGGGGGGGGGGGGGGGGGCTCGACCCAGGACCCATTTTTGGCAACTTCGCTTCTTTATCCCTCCCCACCCCCCCCACCCCCACTACGAGGATTATTGCAAATAAAACACTGGTGGCAATGCTGCGCTCGGCAGCTGGGGTCTCCTTGTGGATGGCGCTGGCCCTCATCAAGGTGAGCTGCCAGGAGGGGGGAAGGGGCGCCAGGGGGAACCCGCAGTTCTCCCCCCCCCCATCATTTCATCTTCACTGAGTCCATCCCAGAGCAACTCACCTGCACCCCCCTTTCCTACTGCTCAGAGACTCCCCTCTGCCCCCTGCCACTCTCCCACCTCTCCCCCAGGTGAATTTCCATTGCTGCCTTCACCAGCAGCACCCTCCCCCCCCCCCCCAGGGGCAGCGGGGGCAGTCTCCTTTTCTTGACTCACGTTGCAAGTCTCCCCACCTGGTGAGCGACCCCAATGGCCCCAAGACCGACTCAGGGAATAAGGTGAGTGCTGCAGAAGTCAAGGCACGTTGTGGCTAATCAGCGGTCTGTGTTGTCCTCTCCAGAAGGGCCATGGGGAGCCTGTGAAATGCGCCATCAACCTGACGGAGTGGAGGGTCTCCAGCCGGTCTGTCTATCTCAGATGGAGCAGTTTGGGGAATCTCTGCAACTTCACCCTGACGTGCAGCTCTGACAACGCCTCGCACACGGAGTGTCATCCCGTCCAGAAGACTAACGAGTCCTACGAATGCAGCTACAATGGCTTAGAAGCAGGGACTTTGTATCATCTCAGGATTTTCTCTCTCTCGGACACAGAAACGAGGAACATCTCCTTGCAAACAGGTAAGGGCGACAGGTGCAGAAGTGCTGCAAACTTTTCTTTTTTTGGCAGCGTAGGAAAGGGGGCTTGGGGCGGTTTGTTCCCCCCACAATCTTATTTCGAGGCTGATTTTCCTGACCTTGCTTTGATGATGGAAAATAGAAGGCAGGTGATGTCCCAAAGGATTATTGACTCTGTTTCCAAAGGCACTTTAAATCTATATCGTTTGCAGCAGGCTGGCTGTAGAATTCCCATACTTTAACTCCTTCCCAGTTGCTCTCAGTAAGTGCTGCTGAAAAGTAGCACTCTGGGCTTGAAGGGAGATTTTACTGTGAATAGTCTAGATCTGTTTAAAGGGTTTATTTTGTTAAAAAATAGACTTCAAACGATTATAATACAAAACAGAAGATCTATTTTGAAATAGCAGCATAAAATATGCTTTGTGCTCTTCAAAGACGTTACAGATTCTCCGTTCATAGCATATTTGCTTGCATTTAAAACACAACTATTCCATTATAAACTAACTGAACCTATCAAGAGTGCATAACTGACTGTTTTACTCTGCATAACTTTACTGGAAATAAGTTTGACCAATTTCAGCCCGTGAAAGCTGACAGGTAGCTGTTCAAAGCTAATACTTTTTCCTAAAATAAAACTGCTTGTGATTATAGTTAAAATAAAAATGTGTGTACAACATTTCCTACAAATACAAATCATGGGCATACATGTGGTATTACATAAAGACCAGTTGTTTTCAATAGGTTTATTGTATTGGAAACATAATTGGCTATAAATATACTAAAATGTTTTCTATCCATATTCTGCAAATGCAGTGTTATTGGTTTCCTATGTAGGAACAATTTATAGCTTTAAAACAAAGAACTGCACCAAACTATTGACTTCAGTGGGAGAAATATTGGACCCTTTCTTACATATACTGATGTTTTAATTTCATATAGTTCTTTTTTTAAAAAGCTGCTGAAATATAATATTTGACAGCCTTCTGCTAGTTGGTAATACAGGACCGCAAACCTGAGTTGTTAAAGTATAAAAGCCTCTATCATCTGATCCCCTCCCTTATCCCTTCCTGAAATCTTAGCTATAGAGAGGCATTGCAATTTTTAAAGGTGGTCTTTGTTTATGTCTGAAGGTGATAGTAGATGAATACTTAGAATTGACCTTCTCTAATCCTCATTGTTTTATTTCACAATTACTGTGCCTCTTCTCCAAATAATGTTAATTACTGTGCCTCTTCTCCAAATAATGTTAACTAACCTCAGTTAATTGGCAATCAATTAACTCAAGATAAAACAGTCTAGTGTAGTCAAATCCAGTGTGATAGGCATATATTCAATGCGAGAAATATTTTTAGTACGGCTTGGTACAACTAATGATTTCCATAGTAACAGCAATTTAAATCTATATCATGCATTGCTCCAACTGTTTTTAATATTGATGAGTCATACTTTAAAAGCAAAAATAACAAATTAACTTATCTAAGTAGCAGGTATCTATCACAATCTTGGTTGAATGGTAAAGGTTTTTTATATAGCCCTTGAATAGAAGATGAGCAAAAGATAGCAACATAGACAGGAGATTATATATTGTATAAGTGGAAAATGTTTTGATTATATTATAATATTGAATTTAGACAATGGTTTATATATATCATTTTTGACAGATTTCCATCTTGGTAAACAGCCTTTCACAGAATATAAGAAAATGACAGAATGATTGAAACAGATCTGTGTACAATATTTGTATGATCACATGTCTGTTGGATACAAAGTAACAAGATTGACAAAAGTTTACAGCTGAAATCCTCTAAATTAGTTTACCTTGATCTAGGTGAGGTTTGGGTTTAGCTAGCAGAGAGGTTAGCAAGAAGGAGAGAGGGGTTTTTTATACATATCTCTCAAGGAGATTGTGAAAATTGCCTATGGAAGCAGCTACTCAGGTTGCTTTATCTGCAATATTTACTTTGCAATATCACCCAGCACCTGAATGTAGTCAAGTCATTTACATAATTTGGATTATGTATAGAAATACACAATTATCTGCCAAATGTAACTATTTACAATGTTTTAATTAATGTCTTTGATTTGTTAAGGTTTAACAAGGCAAAAGAATACATACATTAAAATACAGTACATTTTAATATATAGTAATATACAGCTTTTAAAGAGGCTATTCCTTCATTTCCACTAGGGGCAACATTTTACTCTAGTTTTTTGGAAGACTTTCCACCCTTTTTTCTCACTGACTTCTAGTGTCAGTACTTTTGTTAACTAAGTTATGGAAACTGAATCTATAAAGGCATTTATTCTTGGAAACTAACCTCTGAGTGTGTTTGTGTGAGGGGACCTTTTGGGGCCGATTATACTGAAAGGCAAAACTCCCATTGACTTTAATAGGAGCAGAATCAGGCCCAGTGTGTATATAGATATATATAAAATAATCTGTGTTATATAGACCACATACATAACTTCTTGTGAATGTTCAGTACTGCTGATGCTTTTATAGGCTGGTTCTCATGCCGAGTTTACATTTTGCCCATGACGTTTTGCTTAATGCTGTACCTTAATGTCAAATGTTCATACTTACAATATGAAGCGGTAGGATAGTTAAAATAATGTTGAAGTTTAACTTAAACCCCTAAAATTAAAAAAATATCATTCTATCTTCATTTTGCTCCATTCTGCTTTGGTATTTAAGGTGAGATCAATGTGTAGTAAATACCACACATGCTGCAATTCCTAAGCAAAAGGTTTAAATTGAGGAAATTAATTTGATTTGGTTTTGTGCGTATAATTCAGACTCTTAAATTACTTCAAGATACTGTAATTTAATACATTAATGTATTAAAAGAAAAACTGTATATGTTAAAAGACAGGGCTTTTTCTAAACAAGAAAAAAGAGTTTACCTAAATTGCCATTTAATTTGACAACTGAAGACTATTAATTTGTAGAACATTGATCCAATATACCACAAAGGTTCATTCAGGTGAAGTCTGTCATGGTGATGTTTACTGAAGAATCTTTAGTCTACAGATTATTAATTAGAAAAGACAATATCTGAACCTCTACAACTGGTCTTTACTCCCCAAAAAGTGGCATAAATATTATATATATTGCTGTTTCATTTTGATAGTAGTGCTATTTTTGGAGAGCACAAAATGAGAGGGGAAATGCTGATAATTTATCAGAACTGAGCTCTACAGATAAATTCTGCAATGTATACCTAAAATTACAGATGTGATTAGGCATCAAGTTTGTGCCTTTGGCATATTTTAGTATTTATATTGGCAGTTCTGTAGTATTTAAAGTACATAAACTAGTATACAAGATATACATTTACATATATATATTCCGGACAATATTATTGATATTTTAAAATTTGTGATGACAAAATATGTGTCTAGGGGGCTTGTAACCCTTATTCAAATGTGAATAAGGACCACTGTATGGATAAAGGTGGTAGGATTGGATTTTATGTTTTCAGACAAAAACACTTAGGCCCTGATTCTGCAAACACTTGTGCACGTGATTAACTTTTTACATCTGAGTAGTCCCTCTGAGTGACTTCAAGGCATTACTTAGAACATTAGAGCCAGATTCACAAGACAACTGCATTGTGCTCCATAGGCAAGTTAGATGGAGAAACACCTATCTTCCCCTGGTTTGTGCATCGCACTGGGGCTTAGGCATCTGAACACCTAAAGGGGAGCAGCAGAAACTTTTCTGCACACTAGCAGAAACATGGGCACCTGTGGAACTTTTACTGCAAAAACGTAGGCGTTGCGTGAGCTTAGGCCTACAGGGTTCAGCTATAGCTGAGCAGAGGGCTTGTGAATCCCATTGTGGTCTGATTCTGGAATTTAGGCACCAAAAGTAGCAGTTAGGTGCCTAAGTACTTTTGTGAATCCAGCCCTATTTAAAAAACACTTTTACATTAGTTCTAAATTATGGTTAAATTTGTGGGAAAATACATATTTTAAAATCCAGACGTAATTAATTGGTCTTTAGAACCTTGAAGGTATCTTAATGAAGTTTTTATTTGGGTATTTCCTTAGTTTTTGAATAAATTATTTAAAACTTTCAGTTGACTCTTATATTTTCATTCATAAAGACACTAGGTTTAGCTATAATTAGAGGGGGTTTTAATACATTGTACAACATGGTATTAGGCTTCAACTGGAGTATTGTGTCCAGTTCTGGGCACCACATTTCAGGAAGGATGTAGACAAATTGGAGAAAGTCCGGAGAAGAGCAACACAAATGATTAAAGGTCTAGAAAACATGACTATGAGGAAAGATTGAAAAAATTGGGTTTGTTTAGTCTGGAAAAGAGAAGACTGAGAGGGGACATAACAGTTTGCAAGTACATAAAAGGTTGTTACAAGGAGGAGGGAGAAAAGTTGTTCTTAACGTCTGAGGATAGGACAAGAAGCAATGGGCTTAAACTGCAGCAAGGGTGGTTTAGATTGGACATTAGGAAAAACTTCCTAACTGTCAGGGTGATTAAGTGTAATGCCAACAGACCCTGGTCATTGGCAGGCGGGATCAAACCGGGGACCTTTGGAGCTTAGCGCATGAGCCTTTACAGCATAAGCTAAAAGCTAACTGGCTGTTAGCCAAGGCTGTAGAGCAGACTCATTTTATCTCTCTCTTTAAGTGGTCTCGGTGCCACTAGATGGGACAGAATACCATACCCAGGAGGTGTGTGGGTTACATAAGCACTGGAATAAATTGCCTAGGGAACTTGTGGAATCTCCATCATTGGGGATTTTTAGAGCAGGTTGGACAAACACCTGTCAGGGAAGGTTTACATAATACTTAAGTCCTGCCTTGAGCGTAGGGGACTGGACTAGATGACCTCTCGAGGTCCCTTCCAGTTCTATGATTCTATGGTATTCTCCTAAAATACTACACTGGTAGATACTGTTTCTGCCTTGACTCAGACTGGTTCCACTGACAAATACAGGCACCTGTGCTAGCAACCACTTTGAAGTTAAGTATTTGAACTGAACAAAGTAAAAATTCTTTCACCCTAGTAATATACCAACAGAGTGCATAAACTCAGTCAGACTCCAAGTCAATTTGGAGATAAGACTAAACCCCTTTATTTTTTTTAAACTCCACAGATATTGATGGACCATCCTTGTAATTCTATAAATTGTGAGATCTTTGAGACAAATGTCATTTACTGTATCTTGTACAGCATTGAGCATAATGAGGTCCTGACATAGTCAGGCCTGTAAGCATTACAAATATTAAATAATAATCCTCTCAAGAGACAGATTATTAATAGAGAATACATATTGGAGTAGTGTGATATAAAGGTTTTATCATCATGAATATGGGCTTCATCTCTCACAAGAAGCAAAACGTTATGCAGCTCATCCCAAAGAAATTGATCATTTAAGGACTCTAGGATCAGGCCCATGAACTAATCTTCACAAAATTCCTGTTTGGTAGGTAAGTATTATCTCTGATTTATAGAAACGGAAACAGAGAGAGAGTTAAATTGGAATTTGAGAGTTCCCAGCTCTCAGACATGTGCTCACATCCTAGATTATATCTTTCTCATGGATAATATATTATGTTTCCATAATTACAGTCCATCATGTCTTTGGGAATCTGCAGCTGTAATCATAACTAGTCTGTTAATCAAATGTACATACAAGGGCTGTGCATGTCCAGTAAGTACTCTTACTAAAAAATTTCACAACAACTAAGACATTAGTGTAGTGGAATTTAAAAAAAAATTAAACACCCAGATTTATTTATTTTATATATTCAAAGGCATTGGTTCATTATAGAGTAGTATAAAAATATCTTCATGAAAATTTTTTATTTCTGTGATATATCAGTGTGGGACAGTTGCCAGCAGAGAATATAATAACAATGTAAATGGTTTTTTAAGTGTGTGTTTCCAGCCAGAGCTCTTTCAGCCCAGGCATTTCCCAATCTCATTGTTCCTTTGTTCTAACGGATGTACAAAGGACTGAGTGTTTTGTTTTCTGGGCCAGATAGATTAGATAAAGTTTGAATTTCTGAACTTCACCTTCTAGGCACGCAACTTTTTTTTTTTTAAATATACTTTGGAAATTAAATTCCACACCCAGCGCAGTGTACATTATGAAGAAACTGTAGCATGTAAAATAATAATATGCTATTATCTTTGATATGATTTGATAAGAGACATGATTACAGTGTTGATTACTTTTGCAATCAGTCAGCCTAATCCTAATTATGTTGTTTCAGCAAGAATGAAAGATCCTTCCATTTATCACCTATGGTTCTTCTTCACTGAAGAATTTCCTACATCTCTTACCTTACATAATGCTAGTATTTGTTTGACTCCTAACGGGTGATTTTTTCTAATTCAACCAGTCACCTTCAAAGAATAATTTTACATTCTTGCTATTTGCCAGATAATAGTCTTTAATGGATTATTATATATTATAGGTGGAGCTGGTAGCAAAGTCTTATAATTAAGTATCGCGGGTAGCTGTGTTAGTCTGTATGCACAAAAACAACAAGGAGTCCAGTGGCACCTTAAAGACTAACAGATTTATTTGAGCATAGGCTTTCATGGGTAAAAACTATTTCTTCAGATGCATGGAGTGAAAATTATAGATGCAGACATAAATATTCTGACACATGAAGAGAAGGGAGTTACCTCACAAGTGGAGAACCAGTGTTGACAGGGCCAATTCAATCAGGGTGGATGTAGTCCACTCCCAACAATAGATGAGGAGGTGTCAATTCCAAGAGAGGCAAAGCTGCTTTTGTAACGAGCCAGCCACTCCCAGTCCCTATTCAAGCCCAAATTAATGGTGTTAAATTTGCAAATGAATTTAGTTCTGCTGTTTCTCGTTGAAGTCTGTTTCTGAAGTTTTTTTGTTCAAGTATAGCTACGTTCAAATCTGTTATAGAATGTCCAGGAAGATTGAAGTATTCTCCTACTGGCTTTTGTATGTTACCATTCCTGATGTCCGATTTGTGTCCATTTATTCTTTTACATAGGGACTGTCCTGTTTGGCCAATGTACATGGCAGAGGGGCATTGCAGGCACATGATGGCATATATCACATTAGTAGACGTGCAGGTGAATGAGCCCCTGATGGTGTGGCTGGTGTGGTTGAGTCCTCTGATGGTGTCGCTAGAGTAGATATGGGGACAGAGTAGGCAACGAGATTTGCTGCAGCGATTGGTTCCTTGGTTAGTGTTTCTGTGGTGTGGTATGTAGTTGCTGGTGAGTATTTGCTTCAGGTTGGGGAGCTGTCTGTAAGCGAGGACTGGCCTGCCTCCCAAGGTGTAGGAGAGTAAGGGATCATTTTCCAGGATAGGTTGTAGATCATTGATGATGTGCTGGAGACGTTTTAGCTGGGGGCTATACGTGACGCCCAGTGGTGTTCTGTTGTTTTCCTTGTTGGGCCTGTCCTGTAGTAGGTGACTTCTGGGTACCTGTCTCACTCTGTCAATCTGTTTCCTCACTTCCCCAGGTGGGTATTGCAGTTTTAAGAATGTTTGATAAAGATCTTGTGGGGTTTGTCTCTGTCTGAGGGATTGGAGCAAGTTCGGTTGTATCTTAGGGCTTGGCTGTAGACAGTGGATCGTGTGATGTGTTCTGGATGATACATGCCTCCAGCTTTCATCAGGACACATCACAGTCTCAGCTCTTCGCAGCCCTTATTACTGAGCAAGGCCTCACACCCCCGCCTGAGGAGGCTAGCAAGTACCATTTTGCCCCAATTTACAGATAGGGTAACTGACAGGTTGCACAAGCTCACTTCAGAAGAGGTTGAAAATCAAATCCAGGGCCACATTCTGTGCTGCACTAAAACTTATGGCCCAATGGAGAGGGCGTAGGTGACTGTAAACCACCTTTGTGCCTCCCAGATTCTAACCTGCTCTAGCAGCTTGTGTGTCCCCCGGGTAAGAGCAGCCTTGGAGGATGCTCTAACTCACAGCAGCCTTACCAGGCTGTCTCCAGGCTTCTCCACAGCCCAGACTTTCCTGTGTCCAGAACGCTCTGGCTGCTACCCATCATGCCCCTGTCTGGCCCCGGCCCTAGCACTAACCTATGCCAAACAGCACCACAGAGACATGTACACTAGCCATAGGATATTCTTGCTGTAAGGAAATCTCCTCAGGGCCACTCCCCCGCATTGTACCCTGTGTGCCAGTGAAAGGGCATAATTTGCAAGTGTGAAGCGGACCCCTATGGAAGGGTCAGTGTGGTTTAGATGGAATTTATGCAGGGGTGGGGGGGTTGGTTTAAAAAAAAAACTTAGAAGTTTACGTACAAGAAATTACATTAAAAGAATATTTAAGTTTGCAAAGTCAGGCACTCAAAAGTTAGGAAATGCCTGAATCAAAGTTGCCCGTTTGTTTTATAGGGTCCCTGCTTTACTCAGGGTGCACAGTGAATGAAGCAGCGGGTTGAAAGAAGGAAAAGGATGGGTTTTGAGGGGGTTAAGACGCTGTGCTAGTATCCTGCACAGCTGGGATCTCTGTCTGGCTCTGCCACACTCTTTGTGTGTTACGTTGGGCAAGGCATATAGATGCACAAGGAGGCTGTATTAAGGCAGCACGGGCACTAAATTCAGTCACTTCCTAACGTTTGAGTGCTTAACTCTGCAACTTTCGTACTTTTTTGTTCATTATAACGTAACCATGTTATCAAATACAAATGGGATCTTTAGTGCATCAGTGTATAATGACTTCTTTTAGTTACAAGAAACTATGAAATAATCAAAAGTCTGTAAATTTTGGAGTATACTTGCTATCATTTTTGGAGCTTAAGCTTTCTCTCAAACAGTTTGGCCCAAGATGACTACTTAATCAAAGAATAGTCCTTTAAAGTATACATTCTAAAAGCTTATATACAGCCTTTTTTGGGTTTTTTGTTATTGTTGTTTAGACCTGATGTGTAGGACAATACTGCTGGTATTGGAGACCCTTCCAGTAGAAGAGTGGATATGTATTGTCAGAAGGTGCTTATTCTGATTGAAGACAATAGCAAAAACTAAAACACTATCATAATTAAAATTGTACCTTTATCTTGAAGAACTTTAAATATACACACTTTTGTGTCCAACTTAACTGCCGGGGAATGCTGAAATATGTTGTGCATTTATTTGTGGTGTTGGTATTGTGCATCCAACTAAAAAACCCTCATAATCTGGCATAAGCACCTGAAAGTTAGTCACTGATGCTCTAATATTTATAGACTACATTATCCTGAGTCATTATGACTGCAGGGCTGTTTCTAATATAGTGATGCCATAGGTTCGTTGTCAACAGATTTTGAAACTCTTTATTTACACACACTGAAGCATGTGCTTTTCTATAGTATACATATATCTGGGTTCTCCAGGGCCAATTCATAGGAAGATTAGTTGTGTTTTCAGTGAACATGGTGTTTGGAAATGGAATAAAGAAAAATTTTCAATAAAGATTTGCAGTGGAATGATGAAAAACTGGAAATTGTTGGAGTTGATTGAGCTAACCTGTAAAACTCTTCTAAAACCTAACTAAATTAATATTTTTGCTGTTATTTGTAATTACAGATCCCTTACCACCAGCTAAATTTGAAATTAATAAGGAAAAAACTACTTCCACAAGCTTGCAGGTCTCGTGGAGTCCATCCTCAGGAAAGGTGGACTGGTATGAGCTACAATTATCTGATCATAATAATAAAAAGATACAGAATGTCTCAATACAAGGAGGTATTTCAAGAAGAGAAGAGACCTTTTCCAGTCTAACCCCTGGGAGCAAATACAATGTTATCATTACTGCAGTTGCCGGAAATAAAAGCACCCCAGCAATTCACATCAGCGGATCTACTGGTGAGACCTGTTTTTTGTGTAGTGCATCTAAATAAGGCTACTGAGCATTTTTACACACATTTTGAGGTTATGCATTTCAAAAAGGGTATAGATATGCATTTCTCCTAGATAGCAAGTTATGCATGTAATCAGTCTTCATTAACCTAACATGGTTCAGGTTGGTTATAAATAGAGGTAAACAAAGAATTTCTAATTAATTTTAAGAGACCTCTTCTAAGTATGAAGAAATGTTGGCAGGTCCAATTTGGCCATCAATTTTGGTTTTGCTTTTGGCAAACCCTAAACACTCAAAATCTTTGCAAAGTTGAACAGTTCAATCTTGCTCAGATAGTGAAGAAAACCATTACCTGTAAAACATATGTTTTTTATTTCATCAGTGCCATCCCCAGTGCAAAACATTCAGATCAGTGTCAAGACAGACACTATCCACGTTTCATGGCTACCTGGCTCTGGTTATGTGGATCGATACAGGCTGCTATTACTGGATAAAGAAGGACCAGTTCGTGAGATCAACCATGAGGAACGCTTACTCTCCTACACTTTTCTTGGACTTACAGCAGGTCACCTGTATAATCTCACTATCATAGCTGAAGCTGCAGGACTAGAGAGCTACAACTTTAAACTGGTTAGGACAGGTAATGATATCATAAATAACGCATAGGAAAACTGTGAGGCTGCAATATAGCGAATTTCAAAATAAGAAGTGGAATTGTTTGGTCTGGCCTAAACGGAACACTAAGGTTCATAATTCTGCCCTCTGTGTGGCAGAGCTCCAGCTGACCCCAATTGAACGTTGCATGCCTGAATCTAGGCAGCATACAGCCCCATTCTTTCATAGCATTGTATGGGGTTTAACTTAATTATCTGAGTTGCAGAGTTTAGTGGTTTTCTGAGAAGTTGGAGGTAATATTTCTGTAGATTATTTTTGGGGGGTTAGAAATCCTGACTTTGAGACTCACTGAAAACTCCTGTTGACTTCACTGGGAATTATGCACATGGCATGACAGTAGATGGTGACCCACTATTTAAATCTGCATGGAATAGCATAGGTCAAAGCGGTCACTTTAGAAAAACAAAACAGGAAGAAAAGAACCTTCGTAACTTTTGATACATTTAAGAACAGCCCTCGCAGAAAACAAGGTAAGAGTTGTTGGTTTGCTTTTCTTCTGGTGAAATGTCAAAATACACAGGATCATATTTTGATCCCACTTACACTGGTGTCAATCAGGAATAACTCCAGTCAAACTACAGCTTTTGTTGTGCTAACACCTCTCTGGCTTTCAATAACCTTGAGCAGCGCGTGCCATTATAAGCCTTTACATTCAACATGCACAATCAATGAAAATAAGGAGGTGACTCGTGTATTTGATCATCCAGTGATGTTACAGTAAGCAATGTTAGTAGAGCCACTTTGGGTATAAATGGTCTTAAATATAGGTTTAAAAAATCAAACTACATGCCATGTACACGTTGTGTACTCTGTGGGTGAAATATTTTGTTTTCTTTTTCATTATTTTTTTTTTAGCCCCAGCAGAAGTCTCAGCTTTGATGGTGACGAATGATGGCAGCTTGGATACATTAAAAGTTACATGGAAAAGACCTCTAGGAAACCTAGATTTCTACAATATCACTCTGTCTCATCTTGGATCCATTAAAGAAATCAAAACTTTACAGCCCCAGGTCACAGAGGCTCAGTTTGACAAGTTGATTCCAGGAAGTCTTTATCAGGTCACTGTCAGCACAATCAGTGGTGAATTATTCACTGATAAGATGGCAACTGGCAGGACAGGTAAGTCTTGTGCATCAGTAAGAACATTTGTAATCAAAGCCTCTTTGATCTATCCCATTGAATACACTGCCATGTAGAAGATCATGTTGGAAGAGAAGCAGATTTGGTTGCTAGGCAATAGGAGGTTGCTGAGATTTGGTTGTTGGGTATAGTGTGCAGGTGCTGGCTGGTGTTGGTGGCCTGTGATGTACAGGAGGTCAGAATAGATTATCTAGTGGTCCCTTCTGGCCTTAAACTCTATGATTCTGTGAGGCAAAAATTGTTGGGCTGATCTTACTGTACTTCTTACAGTACTCCTTACTGCTTACAGCAACCTTGCAGCCAGTAGTCAAAGCTACAGTGCTGACCTGTCAGAAAGAAGCGGTGGTATATGCTGTAGATAGAAATCAGCATAGGTTGAGCCTGTAGCAAAACTATTCAGCGCCTGTACATTCCGTAATTTTTGCCTAATTTTATTATTTTGAACACAATCCAGAGAGAGAGATAAAACAGGGCTACAGTAAATGGAAATATGCATGTAAGGTACTGTGCAATTATTTAAAACTATCAACAAAGTATAACAACATTGCCCCTCTATGGTCATATATCTGTGAATAGAAGAACACTCACAAGTCAGACATGTTCAAGTCTTTGGTCTCAATCACAACGGTTCTAGAGTTTGTTTATATATATTGGAACGGAGTCATCAATATTAAGATCCCAAGCATTTGATATGCTATGAAATTTGGTTGTAAGCAAGATCCTGGTTCTAGGCATAGCTCCTTAAATCTAAGCCATTTTGACTGCCCACAGCACTGACTAAGGCACATGACAGTCTTTGTGGTGTTGGGTTATTTATTTATTTTAGGTGTATAGCTATTTTTCATCTTATCTGATTGATCAAACTGAAAAGACTGCCAAAGTTCTGCCCACCCACATACTACTGTTAACCATGAGTCCACGTTACCTCCATCCTACACCTCTTGGCAGTTGGTAGAATTTAGATTGGAAAAGTTTTCAAGTGGGTAAAAAGTACATGCAGGACATCCAAAAATTGTTAATAGAGTCCATCTGAGTTAAACAACTACAGAGAACAGCAGGAAAAATAACTTAAAATGCTGCGAGTTTCATTCTGAAAATGCATAAGGTTTTCGCTAACCTCTGATTTAGGGTTCAGCATTTCTGATGTCAGTAACTGACAAACAGTGAGTTCTTTGTGTGGGAGAGGGTAAATTTCTCACTCAGATGAGTACTACACTTTGTCAAAACGCATTTTGGCCCAAATTTTTAAAGGTATTTAGGCATTGCTGCATTCAGTGTTGCAATGCCTAACTGACTTAGGACCATAAATCTCATTTTCAAAAGTGATTTAAACTCTTAAGAATCTAATTCCCATTGACAGGTGAAAAATCTGGGGCTTGATTTTACTATAACTGATCAAAGCACTTCGGCAATGTCTGAGCTGTGAGCCAGGTTTCATTGCTGTCCAGTTATATTTCCCCAGAAAAAACACAAATTACTCACCTGTTTCTGTATTTCAGTTCCTCAGAAAGTTTCAGAGCTGAAAGCTAGCAGTGGTGGTTTGCTGAGGTCTCTGACAGTGAGCTGGCTGCCCCCTGCTGGAGACTGGGAGAGATACTACATTATGTTGTTCAACCTCTCCACTGTGCTGCTGAACACTACATTAAAGAAAGACAGAAGAGAATATGTCATCCAGGATATACGACTCATCCCAGGAAGACAATATGAGGTGGCAGTCATAGTGGAGAGTGGAGGCTTACAGAACACTGCTCGCTGCAAAGGCAGAACAGGTCAGCAATCTCATTATACTGATAGCATGAAACTTCAAAACTTTCAAGTTGGCTATTTTTAGTAGCTGGAAAAAAAATAAAATAAGTGGTATGTATTATACTGATTCACTAGGAAAACGCTTTCACATGAGCATAGATAACTATTTTAATTCAAAACATTTGTAGTCATCTTCATAATAACTGTAAATGAAAGAGCAAATTCCTAGACTCTTATTATTTGTTTGTTTGCTTAATTTATTATTGGCCCAAATCCTGAATTCCTCATTCAGATTTTGCTCAGGAGTTCTATCCCTTTGATTAGCCACAATTTAATATTTAAAATAGTGACTCTTCTCTTTAAAAGAGATGGGACCAAATTCAGTGGTGGTGTGAAGAGTGTTATAAATTGCACATCAAATTTCAGGTGGTCAGAAAAAAGAGGTAAGAGGTAAAGCAGAGTGATTTGGTCTGGTTTTGCATTCATTCAGGCATGAGAGACCTGATCAGCATCTCACACCACTTTTACACTGGGATAACTCCATTGACTTCCAGGAAGTAACTCCAGTTTTACCTTGCACGTGAAAGTAGAATCAGACCCATGAGATGTAACTGAGTGATGTACACATTAAGACAGTGGTCCATCCTGTGGTGTGTAAACGGCTGTATGTGAGAGTATGTGCCAGACTTTGTTCATCATAAATCTAACTCTCCTGACATCAGTGGAGATAATCTGCATTTGCACTGGTATAACTGAGATCAGAATAGTCTAAGGGCATATCAGGCTGAAGAAGAGAGGAGTACCTCATTTTCAAAATACACTTATACGCATCCTATAGTGGTGTAAATGATGAAAGGGTGCCTAATTTTATCTAAGGATGTCTCATGGGTTTAAGTTAGAGTAGCCTCTTCTCTGCCCTAAGATCCACCTGCATCACAGAAGCTGTCCTTTCTCAGATAAGTGTGCTAGATATAGGAACAAAGGGGCAGGTGGCTCACTATAAGGAAGCAGCTAAGGGCAATGAACAACACTGCAGATGCAAGTGTCCACCAGCTCAGCAGGCTGCATGAGAACATGATGAAAACAAAAAGCAGGTGGGTGTGAGCACAGAAATAGCACAGAAAAAAACAGCCTCTGCACACCACAGATGGTAGTAGCAAATATATAGATTAGTTAGTGGCCCTCTTGGGAATCAAATGCTTGCAGCTTGCATCAGAAACAGGTGCGGCATTACCCATCTATCAGAACCAAGGCCTGATACAAGGTTTCCAAGAGTTCAGTGCTGCTTTTTTTTTTGACTGATGTTCCTGGAGACACATCCGACATTCTTATAATGAGTGTGATATTGCCATTCCTGCAGTGGATGTTTCTGTGAGCAATGTGTGGGCTGGCTTCCCTGTCAGCCCTACTAGCTAGCTACAATCACTGATTTGAACTAGGTTGGTTCAGGAGTAAGGATTGCACCTCCAGTCTATGTGCTCCAGCAAGCATATACAATGGGTCAATTCTACTCTGTTACATCAGTGCAAATCCAGAGTAAGTGCAGTGAGTTTTATGGTGTTACTCTGGAGTCGCAGAATGGAATAAGTCAAATCAGAATTTGGTTTCTGAGTCTTAATTGACACTTGTTTTATGTGTAATAGGTAGGATTTTACTCTGTACCTGAAAATTAGTGTAATGGACACACTGAGAGGGGCATGAGGGAGTGTGTAACGGGAAAAGCAATCAACAGAAGGGTATAAGATAAGGCAGGGTGTGCCTGATTGAGTGCTTTTCCTGCTACACCCTCACTTTCACTTCTTGGGTGTATAAACTGCACTCATTTTGCATAGCCACAGTATGCCAGATCAGTGCACGTTATATTAATTTAGCATTCACCACCGTTTTCTGGCCAATTTAACTCAGCAAACCAGATTCTGATCTCACACCGATGAAAATCCAGAGTAATTTAAGTCAAAGGCGTTCTGATTCTGATTTCTCTTTCTCTGGTGCAAACCTGCAGTAACTCCTTTGAACTCAATGGATTAACACTGGTATAAATTCAAAGTAACAGAGACCAGAATCTGGCCCATAAGCTCAAATTCAATTATGAATGCCTAGCACCTAGGGCCACACAGAGGTTTTGGGGCACCTGAGGCAAAATCTGAAGCAGAGGCCCCCTCCCACATCCTTCCAAAATAAATTACCACTAAAGAGAGAGCCCCCAAGGAGGAGTGGGGGCTTGGAGAGTGAGCCTGAATTCCACATACCCCACAGAGGTGGCTCAGCTCCTGTCCCAGGGGGCTGGGCCCAGCTGCCTGCTCCAGGCATTGCAACCTCACGTGTGAGGTCACACATCACTCAGGTTTGGCCCTCCGCTCCTCCATTCTGACCGAGGGGCTGCAAGGCCATATTTCAGTGAGTAGTGCTGCAACCCTGCATGCCAGATTGCAATGCCACTCAGTTTGGGAGCCCTCTCAAATAGGGGACCCGTGGCAAATGGCCCCTTTTGGCTCCCCACCAAGGGCCGCCCTGCCAGCACCCTCCTCCCCACACACATCAATGTACCAATACACACTCAGGGCCAAATTCTGCTCCTATATACCACGATAAATTCAGAGTCACTCCATTAACTTCAGTAGAATTACTCCAGAAGTACAGCAGAATAAACAGAATGTGGCCCCAGACATGTAACTGACATGACCAGTGGTGAACTGGAGCCCGTTCGCACCGGTTTGCACCAGTTCGCATGTGAGGGACAACCGGTTCTAAAAGGGCTTCTAAATTTAACAACCAGCCATAAGTGGCGCCTTAGGCGCTGACTCTGTGAGTGCTCTGGGGCTGAAGCACCCCCGGGGAAAATTTGGTGGGTGCAGAGCCCCCACCGGCAGCTCCCCGCCTCGCGCCATGCCCCAGCTCACCTCCGCTCCGCCTCCTCCCCTGAACATGCCACCCCACCCTGCCTCTCCGCCCCCTCGACCCCCTGCCTGGCTTCCCATGAATCAGCTGTTCACGCAGGAAGCCAGGGAGGGCTGAGAAGCAAGTGGCGTCTTCGCGCTCAGGCCCGAGGAGGCGGAGCGGAGGGGAGCTGGGCCGGGGGGGGGGTCGTGAGGAGGGCCTCTCGCGCTGCAGCAGGTAACCTGGGGGGCACGCAGGGGAACCACTCACTGCCCCAGCTCACCTCCGCCTCCCTGGGCCTGAGTGCAAAGCCGCTGCTTCCTTCTCAGCCTTCCCAGGCTTCCCGCGCGAACAGCTGATTCGCGGGAAACTGGGATGGCGGGAGCGGAGAAGCAGGGTGGGCTGGTGCGTTCAGGGGAGGAGGCGGAGCAGAGGTGAGCTGGGGCTGGGCGCGGGGCGGGCAGCTGCTTGTGGGGGCTCTGCACCCACCAAATTTTCCCCATGGGGGCTCCAGCCCCGGAGCACCCAGGGAGTTGGTGCCTAAGGTGCCACTTTTGATGTGATCAGTGGGGGGAGCAGCCGCTCCCCCTGTTCCCCCCCCTTGCTATGCTACCCCGCCCCTAGGAGCCAGAGGGACCTGCCGGATGCTTCCCGGGAGCCGCCCCAGGTAAGCACCTCCAGGACTCCCCACTCTGGCTCTTAGGGGTGGGCACCCACTACGGTGGTCCACGAGACCCTCCTGCCCGGTTCTGGGGGCAGTCAGGGGATAGGGGACGGGGGTGGATGGGTACCGGGGGGGCGGGGGGCTTCAAGGAACACAGGGAGTTGGATGGGGCAGGAGTCCTGGGGGGCGGGGGCGGGCCACGACCCCTTCGTGAGGTGAGGAAGGGAACCGGTTGTTACGATTTTGGCAGCTCATCACTGGACATGACTGCTTGTCACAGCTACATTTTGCCCTATATCTATTTTCTAGTATAATTGTTTTATGTCCCTGTTTGTAGCCCCTGACCATCGCAGAGTTATTTTGTGAGATTTACTCCCCAGCCTCAGGCAAAGCCATTCCCCATGAGTAGTAAAATTTCTGTTACTCTCTTATTGCTAGCCTAGCTCTCGACAGCAGCGCGGTCAAGATGTGGCATGTGTGTCCATTGAAAAATCCTTTGCTCATTGCTATACTCATGTTCTTCCCTTAGCTCCACAGCCTGTTCTTCAGCTCCGGGTAAAGCATGCTAATGAATCTTCACTTAGTGTCATGTGGATGACCCCTGTTGCAGAATGGGACAGTTATGTGGTTTCACTGGGAGACAGGGATCTTACCGTCATAAACAAGGCTCTTGTGAAAGAAGCTAAAGAATACACTTTCAGTGGTCTGGTACCTGGACGGAAATACACAGCTACAGTCACTAGCATTAGTGGGGATTTAAGCAACTGGACTTCAGTAGAGGGAAGAACAGGTAACACACTGTCAATCCACTTCTAATCCCAACTTCTGGTAACCAGCAATAATGACGTGTTGCTTTCTTTGTACTGAATTGTATTAAAGCAGTGTCCAGATGTCAACACCCTTGAACTTGTGTACATTTTCTTAATAGAAATGCTACATTTCTAAATCTCTTGTGTGTCTTGCAATATATCTCAGAACATCCAGTCTCTTTTTCTGCCATTTTCCATGGCTTTCTAAGATGGATATGTAGTTCCTGATGGAAAATGGTATCTAAAATGTTTCTGTAATGTCTGATCAATCTACATAGGATGAGGATAATAAGTCCTGTTTTCACTTAATATCTTGGGGAACGTTAGCTTCCTGATTTGTTCCTCAACAGATGGACCATTTGGGGGGAAAAATGGGAAAGAATTGTTTGAAGGGGGACATTTCAAAGTTAGCAGACACAAAATGGAGGTGACCTTCAAAACATATTTTGAATCCTGCTGCCTTTTTGATTAAAAAAACCCCAGCTGCAACACGACCAAAATTGAAGTGACTGTTGGGGGTGCTTTTGTAAAAACCAAAACCACTACTTTTTTCTGCCTGTGTCTAAGTTTAAATCCAACCTATTTCTTTGCTATGCCTGCCTGATGCATTCTTTTGAGCAGGCAAGGCCTTAAAAATGGGAATTCCTTTAGGCATAGCACAGGATAAAAACATACTGTGAGTGCAGTTAGTCTAATTGTAGGCCCATAAGACTGAGCGTGTCCTTTTATAAAGCTTAATAAAGTTTTATCCTTCCTTCCAAGGTGCAGAAGTCTTGACTTCAGCCTCCATTACTCAATTTTGTGATTTAAATGGCTAGGATTTAATTTCCTTCTGTTTCAGGCCCCTTCTCCTAGGAAAGGGTGTAGTGTCACAGTGCACTAATTGTGAATTCATGTGTGTGGACAAATCAGGCAGGAGTAATACACATTAGGCATTAAATTATAACTTGTAATGAGCAAACTCAAAAAGGTTGGAAGCTAGGTTTGGATGAGCGTCCCAGACCTCAGATTATCTGAACCTTATTTCAACTACCAGAACCTATTAGATTCATAGATATTAAGGTCAGAAGGGACACTATGATCATCTAGTCTGACCTCCTGCACAATGCAGGCCACAGAATCTCACCCACCCACTCCTGCAAAAAACCTCTCACCTATGTCTGAGCTATTGAAGTCCTCAAATCATGGTTTAAAGATGTCAAGGTGCAGAGAATCCTCCAGCAAGTGACCCGTGCCCCATGCTACAGAGGAAGGCAAAAAACCCCCAGGGCCTCTTCCAATCTGCCCTGGAGGAAAATTCCTTCCCGACCCCAAATATAGCGATCAGCTGAACCCTGAGCATGTCGGAAAGATTCACCAGCCAGTTACCCAGGAAAGAATTCTCTGTAGTAACTCAGATCCCACCCCATCTAACATCCCATCACAGGCCATTGGGCCTATTTCCCATGAATAGTTAAAGATCAATTAATTGCCAAAATTATGTTATCCCATCATACCATCTCCTCCATAAACTTATCGAGTTTAATCTTGAAGCCAGATATGTCTTTTGCCCCCACTGCTTCCCTTGGAAGGCTATTCCAGAACTTCACTCCTCTGATGGTTAGAAACCTTCATCTAATTTCAAGTCTAAACTACCCGATGGCCAGTTTATATCCATTTGTTCTTGTGTCCACATTGCTACTGAGCTTAAATAATTCCTCTTCCTCCCTGGTATTTATCCCTCTGATATATTTATAGAGAGCAATCATATCTCCCCTCAACCTTCTTTTGGTTAGGCTAAACAAGCCAAGCTCCTTGAGTCTCCTTTCATAAGACAGGTTTTCCATTCCTCGGATCATCCTAGTAACCCTTCTCTGTACCTGTTCCAGTTTGAATTCATCATTCTTAAACATGGGAAACCAGAACTGCACACAGTATTCCAGTTGAGGTCTCACCAGTGCCTTGTATAACGGTACTAACACCTCCTTATCTCTACTGGAAATACCTCGCCTGATGCATCCCAAGACCGCATTAGCTTTTTTCACGGCCACATCACATTGGCAGCTCATAGTCATCCTGTGGTCAACCAATACTCCAAGGTCCTTCTCCTCCTCTGTTACTTCTAATTGATGCGTCCCCAGCTTATAATTAAAATTCTTGTTATTAATCTCTAAATGCATGGCCTTGCACTTCTCACTATTAAATTTCATCTTACTACTATTACTCCAGTTTACAAGGTCATCCAGATCCTTCTGTATGATATCCCGATCCTTCTCTAAATTGGCAATACCTCCCAGCTTTGTATCATCCGCAAACTTTATTAGCACACTCCCACTTTTTGTGCCGAGGTCAGTAATAAAAAGATTAAATAAGATTGGTCCCAAATCCGATCCCTGAGGAACTCCACTGGTAACTTCCCTCCAGTCTGACAGTTCACCTTTCAGTATGACCTGCTGTAGTCTCCCTTTTAAACAATTTCTTATCCACCTTTCAATTTTCATATTGATCCTCATCTTTTCCAATTTAACTAACAATTCCCCATGTGGCAAAGTATCAAACACCTTACTGAAATCTAGGTAAATTAGATCCACTGTGTTTCCTTTGTCTAAAAAAATGTGTTACTTTCTCAAAGAAGGAGATCAAGTTGGTTTGGCACGATCTACCTTTCGTAAAACCATGTTGTATTTTGTCCCATTTACTGTTGACCTCAATGTCCTTAACTGGTTTCTCCTTCAAAATTTTTTCCAAGACCTTGCATACTACAGATGTCAAACTAACGTGCCTGTAGTTACCCGGATCACATTTTTTTCCTTTCTTAAATATAGGAACTATGTTAGCAGTTCTCCAGTCATATGGTACAACCTCTGAGTTTACAGATTCATTAAAAATTCTTGCTAATGGGCTTGCAATTTCATGTGCCAATTCCTTTAATATTCTTGGATGAAGATTATCTGGGCCCCCCAATTTAGTCCCATTAAGATGTTCGAGTTTGGCTTCTACCTCAGATATGGTAATATCTACCTCCATATCCTCATTCCCATTTGTCATCCTACCATTATCCCTAAGAACCTCATTAGCCTATTAGAGACTGAGGCAAAGTGTTTGTTTAGATATTGGGCCATGCCTAAATTATCCTTAACCTCCACTCCATCATCAGTGTTTAGCGGTCCCACTTCTTTCTTTGTTTTCTTCTTATTTATATGGCGATAGAACCTTTTACTATTGGTTTTAATTCCCTTTGCAAGGTCCAACTCTACTGGACTTTTAGTCTTTCTCACTCTATCCCTACATGTTCTGACCTCAATAAGGTAGCTTTCCTTGCTGATCCCTTCCATCTTCCACTCCCTGTATGCTTTCTGCTTTTTCTTAATCACCTCTCTGAGATGCTTGCTCATCCAGCTTGGTCTACAGCTCCTGCCTATGAATTTTCCCCCCTTTCTTGGGATGCAGGCTTCCGATAGCTTCTGCAGCTTTGACTTGAAGTAATCCCAGGCCTCCTCCACCTTTAGAGCCACAAGTTCTTCAGTCCAATCCACTCCCCTAACTAATTTCCTTAATTTTTGAAAGTCAGCCTTTTTGGAATCAAAAACCCTAGTCGCAGATTTATTTTTGTTTATCCTTCCATTCAATTTGAACTGAATTAGCTCATGATCGCTTAAACCTAGGTTGTCCCCTCCAACCATTTCTTCTATGAGGTCCTCACTACTCACCAAAAGCCAGGTGGTCACATCCCTTTGGGATTTTCCATGATGATGATGATGATATTTTTGGACTTACTGGAAGTAGGAAATACTGGAAGACCTGTGAGAGCCTGTATCTGTGAGACTCCCAGCTACAGCTGGCAAACCTTTTGCTGTGGGTGGTGGTGTTTTGGTGTGGTTTGTGTTTCCCAGATTAACAGGATTTAGGTGGGAAGGCTATGACAGATACAGAAGCAGCAGTGGGAGTGACCCATGTAGCGGAAGACACAATGAAGATAACTGGATGTGGAAGCTGCGGTATGTACATGATCCTGGAGGGGGTACCTGGAAAGAGTTTTATCTGCATGAAGTGCCATCTGATAGAGCTGATGGAAGAAAAGATACGAGGATTGGAGAGGCAGGTGGAAAGTCTGGTCGAGTTTAGAAGGGGGTCCGAGTGGATTATGCAAAAACATGAGGTAGCTGAAGGGAAAAGCTCAGACTTGCAGATGGAAGCAGGACTGAAGAATTCTGAGGGGAGACTGCTGGGTGAAGAAAATGGACATTGGAAGCATGTGACTAAGAGAACCAGGCAGAGGAAAAGATGGGCTAGTGAAGGACAAACAGAGCTCAAGAACAGGTTTGCAGAGTTGGAAAATGAAGAAGGGGTTCAGCAGATGGTCACTGAAGGTGGAAGGGCAAGGAAGAAGAGAAGAGCGGCTAGTCCTATAGGAAAAGGGGAAGAGTCAATGGAGACTACACCAAATATGAGCCCCAGGAGGATACAAGATGAGTTGAAGAGGATTACAAGGGAGAATAGGAATGGAAAGAACTTGCAGCCAGAGGGAACAGGGGATAGACCAGAGAATCGCACCGTCACCAGGAAAAGGCAGGTCTACGTGATCAGGGACTCCTTACTGAGAAGAATAGACAGGCCTGTAACCAGAGCTGATCCAAAGAATAGAAGGGTGTGCTGTCTTCCGGGTGCTAAGGTACGGGATGTGGACCTGAGGTTGAAAAGGATCCTAAAGGGAGCGGGAAAGAATCCACTGATTGTCCTTTATGTGGGAACAAATGATACCAGTAGATTCTCACTGGAACGTATCAAGGGAGACTATGCCAGGCTGGGGAAGACACTTAAGGAAGTCGAGGCTCAGGTGATCTTCAATGGGATTCTGCCTGTTCCTAGAGAAGGGCAACAAAGGTGTGACAAGATTATGACTATCAACAGATGTCTCAGGCAGTGGTGCTATTAGGAGGGCTTTGGGATGTATGGCCACTGGGAGGCATTCATGGACAGAGGACAGTTCTCTCGGGATGGACTTCATCTGAGTAGAGAAGGAAATAGACTTCTAGGATGGAGGCTGGCACAACTGATTCAGAAATCTTTAAACTAGGAATTTGGAGGAGATGGTTGGGAGATGTCCAGGTAATCTCCACACTGGATTTTAGCATTGAGAGGGAAGAAAACAAAGTAAGAAAGGATACAGCCGTGGGTAGGAGAATGGACATAAGGAGGAAGGGCAGTGTGGATACCAGTCCAATAGGTCATACTGGCTGTAGAATGTCCGTGCCTAATCAGGTAAAGAATGTGAGTGAGGCCAAACAGCAAAAATTACACCAATACCAGGAGCCTAGGTAACAAAATGGAGGAACTAGAGCTACTGGTGCAGGAAGTGAAACCAGATATTATAGGGATAACAGAAACATGGCGGAATAGTAGTCATGACTGGACTACAGCTATTGAAGGGTATATGCTGTTTAGGAAAGACAGAAATAAAGGTAAAGGTGGTGGAGTAGCATTCTATATCAACGATGAAGTAGAATGTAAAGAAATAAGAAGCAATGGAATGGATAAGACCGAGTCCGTCTGGGCAAAAATTGCATTGGGGAAGAAAACTACTAGAGCCTCCCGTGTGATAGTACTTGGGGTGCGCTATAGACGGCCGGGATCTAAGTTGGATATGGATAGAGCCCTCTTTAATGTTTTTAATGAAGTAAATACTAAATGGAACTGCATGATCATGGGAGACTTTAACTTTCCAGTTATAGACTGGAGGACAAGTGAGAGTAATAATAATAGGGCTCAGATTTTCCTAGATGCGATAGCTGATGGATTCCTTCATCAAGTAGTTGCTGAACCAACTAGAGGGGATGCAAATTGAGCACCACCCAGATTGAGCTCTGGCAAGCTGCTTAAGGTGGTCTGGTTGTGTATTCTGTTTACATTCATCACTGGCAGTCTTGTCGTGCCATCGAAACTTTTGATGTCCATGTGCTCATTGGCCATGTTGCTGCAATCTTTGGTACACACACTTCAGAATTCTTTGGTCTTCCATTCTAGTAATATCTCCATACCAAGAAAGCCACTGAAACTGCACCTGTGCTGTTGGAAGCGGTTGCTGGGCTCAGCTTCAAATATCCTCATTTCTGATATTGTCCTGCTACTTAATATGAAGCAGCTGACAAAGATGATGAGTACTGAAATGACCATCTAGTGTTTCTCCGCCTTCCTCAGTGCCCACATTTCACTTCCATACAATAGAGTTGGTATAACTTTGGTTCTGTAGATCGTCAGAAGCCTGATGGACTCACAACATCCCTACAGAAGGCACTGAAAAGCTTGAAACATGGCAACAGCTGCTGCTATATGCGTATCCACATCTTTTCAGCATCCCCCAGCACTGTCTGTGATGGCAACCTAAATATTTGACAGTTGCCACCTGCTCGATGTCCCATCCGGACAGGTTAACACTGAGCTGGTTGTAATCTGGAGTTGGAGGCCACTTGATTGTCATGGACAGAGATTTAGTTTTATCTGGATTAATAACCAGACCCATGTGTGCTGCTTCTTGCATGACCAGCCCGCCCACCAGCTGCAACGATTCACCAAACTGAGCCAATGCAACAATGTTGTTGGTGTATTCAGGATCTCGAAGCAGAATATGGTGTTCAGCTCAACGCCACTGACAGCTGCCTCTTCAAGCTTATCCCTCAACCAATCAGTGCAGATATGGAACAAAGATGATGAGAGAACTCAGCCTTGCCAGAACTTCCCTGGCGATAGGAAACCATGCCGTGTGTCTGTCACCAACGCAAACACAGCTTTCCCCATTCCACTATAGCGCTCCCCTATCAATAACACTGTCTTTCCAGGGAGGCTGAGGTGCCTCATCCGATCCCCCAAAAATGCCCGAGGCCCTGAATCAGAGGCCTGATGGAAGACTGTGAAAAGCGCTGCACACAGCTTATTAAATTCAGCCATCTACTCAAAAGCTGAAATATCACTAGAAGAGCCTTTCGTGCAAAAATCAGGTAGAGCCATTGCAGAGCACGGGTCGGCCTGAGAGGCGAAGTTTCAATTCAAATCTAGACTTCCCCATACTCCAAGCCTGTCTGGACCCAAGATTTTGGTTCAGACCACTGAATAATCTAACCTAATCTGATCTGTTTTATCAATATGCCTAATCATATTTCTGATGACCAGTGCCATAGTATTTAGGCTCTGAGCTAGGTATAAAGCAAAATCTGTAGTGTGGATCTGAATTTTCCAAAGCTAAAAGGCTTTTAGATTGTGGAAGATTGAGTCTGACTGAACACTTATGTGAAAGCATTCAAAAATGAGTAACTATATTTTCATACTTTAATCAAACTTGGTCAAACCTTAAAAAGGGGTTCATTGGGTTTTTGTTAACATTTGGGCTAAATGTTCAACTCCCTTCTTCTATTGTCTGAACAAGTTCACCCACCCCTATTTATTTTAAAGGTAACATTTTGCTACCCCTCAATCCATCATTAAATGTTAGAAGAGTCAATGCTATGAAATTCTTCTGAAGGAAAAGAAATTCAAGTGAGACTAGAAAGATTATATGTCCCAGTAACTCAGAAAATTAAAGTGATGAAAGGTGTTGCCTTAGTTAGATCTTGTGCATCTATGTAATTGGTTTGCCACTGGCTAGGAATGGGATGAGCTCTGTGCAAGTTCAGTAGTCATCACAAACACAAATGACTTCTAAGTCATTTGTTTTTATCTGAATGACATTTATAAAATGGGATTCCTTCCAGCCCTCCTCTCTTGAATCATTTTGGGCTGATTGAGGAAAGCAAAGCCTGGGAGACCTTTCTGTGTAGTGCTAAAAACCAGGAAGCCCTTATGGGTTCCCACAAACCACAGTCCATCAGACAGGAAGCAGGTCTGGGAGTCCACCGTTAGTTTATTTTTAGTCCTGTTGAGTCTGCTTTTTTGATGCACTTCCTCAGTGTGACTAAACTCTGTTTGGGAGATTTGTTTGTTTCTGTGTACTTACACCGTGACATTCTCCTATTATAGTGCCAGCTCAGGTGACTAGCCTGCATGTGACAAACCAGGGGGCAACCAACAGTTTGTTCACCAACTGGACAAGGGCGCTGGGAGATGTAGAGTCGTACCAAGTGCTGCTGATTCACGAAAATGTTGTCATTAAAAATGAGAGTGTTTCCAGTGAGACCAGTAGATACCACTTCCACTTCCTGAAAGCCGGAGGACTCTATTCCGTGGTCGTTACCACAGTTAGTGGAGGGATATCGTCCAGACAGACGATTGCAGAAGGGAGGACAGGTAAGGAAGGGGAAGGAAATGTTCCACCATATCTGTGTAAACTCCCATAAGCTGAACTCATTTGGAAGGATGGTCTCATGGTTAAGTCAGTGGACTAAGATTGGAAGATCTGGGTTCTGTGCCAGACTCCCATGCGTGGCCTTGCACAGGTCATGCCTCCGTTCCCTAGCCTCACAGAGTTGTTGTGAGGAAAAAGTGTTTGTTGGTCATTAGATACTCCAGTGATGGGAGCCATAGAATTCTGAATCTTTCATGAGCAATAAAGAACAACAACAGTTTCTCGGATATTGAGCTGTGTGGGGAAAAATTGCACCAAGTTTTTGTGAATCTGGCAAAACCCAAACATTCTGTGATTTGACCCAAATGTTTTTCATGAAAACAACCTGTGATATTTTCAGGTAAAATCATGAAAAAACTAACCAGTGAGAAAATAGCACTGAAAAGTTGGGAAGCTGAAAACATTTCTTAATGTTTCCTAATTAATAGTGACCATGACAGAAAATGGGTCAGATCCTCCCCTGGTGTAAATTAGCTTAACTGCAATGGACTTTAGTGGAGTTATGCCAATTTGTGCTAGTAAGGATCTGTCGTAATAAAGTTATTTAACTCCAGAATACTCCTGATCATTACCTAAAATGTCACCAGTTCTGGCAGGGTCAAACACACTGGCACATCTTGCATCACTGAAAAGAACCAGATCAATTTTGTACCTATTTTTGGCCACTAGGGGGTAGAAAACTCTTGATAATTAGAAATAAATCTTTGCATTGGCCTCAAAATGATAAAGGGATTTGTGGTTATTTTTATTGGTGAGGAATAGCACTCTAGGATCATAGCTAACACTCTAGGATATTAGACGTGCCATCAGACCCTTGACCTCACCACCATAGACAATAACTTCACTGTCTTTGTTCAGAAACTCAGATGTTTGCTACTCACTTGGAGTGGAAGGCTTTCTGGTGCTAAATAAGACATCTCGCCTTTTTTGTTTTGCTTGATCACATTCCACACATTCCTGCTGCCCTTAACAATTGGAATAAGCTATTTAAAACGTCTTTGCTGCTTTTTCCTTTTGTTGCGCAGTTCCTTCCAGTGTGAGCGGAGTAACAGTGAATAATTCGGGACGGAGCGACTACCTCAGTGTTTCCTGGCTACCAGCAACTGGAGATGTGGATAGTTATTTGGTAACACTTTCTCATGACAGCCAGACGGTTCAGACTCTAACCATTTCCAGAGCCCTCAGTGAATGTTCTTTCAGCAGCCTGGTTCCCGGCAGGCTCTACAATGTGACAATAATCACAAAGTGTGGGAAGTATGAAAATCATTCCTTCAGCTGGGAACGAACAGGTAAAGGGGACAGAAAGAAAGGGGACTGTGTGTGGATTCAGTCACACACATCTCCCATGTTCAATCCTTTGCGATGATCTGTGCTAGCAGTAATGGCTAACCAAAACAGGAGCTAGATTGGAAAATCAAGTCCTAAAACTACAGTGCTTAAGATTGAGGGCCTGCTTTTCATTTATGACTGTAGGACTACTTTACACCACACTGACAGTGTAAAGTGGCCTTAGCATAAATGAGAATCAGACCCCCTGATCTTCCTCACATTTCAGTCAGTGACAAAACCACAATTAAGTTCAATGCGAAGAGGATCTGGCCCAAAGCCTCACTGTAACCAAAGGAGGATTGGGAGTAAAAAATGTGAGTGCATAGGAAGGCCATCCTTAGCTAGAATAATTTGTGATCTTCTCCAGGGCAGTAATTTTGACCCCAACATAAGTGAGGGGATAAGGAGCTTTTGCTTCTGTGAAAGGGCGAAATCTAGTACAAATTTGGCAGCCCTCATGGTGAGCTGAGATTAAATGACAGTTTTGACTCAAGCACTTTGTTCCCCAGACCCTGTAAGTTGGCCCTTCATGTACTATCCTGTGCAGTAGGGGTCCAAAAAAGGCAAAAAAATGTTCAGATACAAATAGAATGGAATGGAAAGTGATACTGGAAATAATATAATGCCATAATATAAGTGAACTCCCGCCTTTATTTCTGGACATGCTATCTCAAAAAGGATATAACAGGAATAGAGGAGAGCCAGAGATGTGTGACAGAAATGATCCGAGGTATGGAAAAACTTCCATCTGAAGAGAAATTTAAAATATGAGGACTGTTTACCTGAGAGCGAGCAGAGGAATAAGGGGGGACAAGATAGAGATATGCAAAATAACCCCCTTTCTCTTAATAGAACAACAAGGGGACAGTCAGTGAAACAGAAAGGTAGCAAATTTAGCACTAATAAAAGGATATACTCTTTCATACACTGCAGAGTTAGCCTATGAAACTCATTGCTATATGATAACATTAAAGCAAAGAGTGTAGTAGGATTCCAAAAGGGATTGGACTTGTATGTGGATAACAAGAACAGCCAGAGTTACAATAGCAAGAATTAAAACAATCAAACCCCACTGTTGGAAGGGATCAGCCCTCATGTTTCACATCATAAGCCAAGCCCTAATTAATGGGAGTTAGGAAAAAATGTTCCCAATGGACAGGCTATTCAATAACTGCCAGCTGCAAGGGTTTTTGCACTTCTCTCTGAAGTATCTGATACTTGACCACTGAGCTAATCTGGGTATGGCAGTGCCTGTGCTCAGTTACCTTTCTCTGGATATTCTGTGTGACACATTTATTGTTTCAGAATCCCTAATTCTTTGCCTGTGTTCTTCTCTTCCCCCCTTCCCTGCCCCTCCCTCCCCCCAGTACCTTCAAGCGTGCAGGGACTTACTGTCAGCAATTCAGCAAGAAGTGACTATTTAAAGGTGTCCTGGTTACATGCCACTGGAGATTTTGACAATTATGAAGTGATCATCAAGAACAACAATGACTTCAACCAAACAAAAAGTGTCCCCAAGGATGAAAATGAATGTGTGTTCACTAAACTGGTCCCGGGGAGGCAATACAGCGTAACTGTTAGCACACGGAGTGGAAAATATGAGACTAGTAAAAGGGTCAATGGCAGAACAAGTGAGTAAATACCCTGGAGAACATCCCTGGAGTTCTGATGGGAGGGAGGGCATTTTTATTTACAGTACACAGGTGAAAAGGAAGTCTTGTTTTACCATCTGATGCTGATAGCTTGGCTCTTCAAACGTGTGTCGCTCTAAAGATCAAAGGAGGCATCTAGGTTACAATAGATGTCTAAGTCAAAGACATGCAGAAAATTAAAAAAAAATACGTGTGTTTAGGGTTGTAAACTCTGAGATAAAATATAGGATATTTAAAATCAAAGTTGTACAGTTTTGCCATGTCAATCTGTTATTTATGTTTTAAAAGCAATGACAACAGATATAGAATCTCTCTCTTTCATGTGACAGGCTGGAGGTGCAGAAAGAGAGTTATCCATGCTTTTATTCATTTATTTGTTATTTTATTTTTTGTATTGTGGTAGCTCCTAGAAGCCCTAGTCATGGACCATTGTGCTAGACTCTGTACAAACACAGAACAAAAAGATGGTTCCATTAGTTTCAATAACATTTTGCATGCTAAGGTTTACATCACAAGAGGTATGTCAAGTCACGTTCCTTGGCAGTGGTCAGAATAACAATGACCTGAAGAGTTTATTTGCTATTCTTTTCTATTGTGTTTTCAGTGCCGGAGTCAGTGAAGGAACTGACTCTTAGTAACAGAAGCACTGAAGACCTGCAAGTTACCTGGTCAAAGGCTGAGGGGGATGTCGATCAGTATGAGATTCAGTTACTTTTCAATGATATGAAGGTCTTTCCACCCATTTTCCTTGGAAACACCATTGAGGAGTATAGGTTCACAGCTTTAACCCCAGGGCGCCTGTACAAAATTCTTGTCTTGACAATCAGTGGAGACACACAACGTGCCACTTTCATAGAAGGACTGACAGGTAAGAGAAAACAGCTTTTAAAACATGATTTCGGGCTTGTTCATTCCGGAGAGCAAAAAACTGGGAGTTCAGCAAATCCAGACTGCGTCACAATCATACTTGAGCTCCTTAGTCTACAATGAACCCAGCTGTAATACTGTCAGAGAAATGCAAGATGTCACTGAAAGCCACATCAATACTTCAGCTAAACTGAGCTTCCCTTAATAAACAAATGTCACAATCATCCACTATCATATAAGTGATGGATGGTAGTGTGATTTCTTGGTTAGAGGAGGGCATTGGGAGTGAAGATTTCAGATTTCTTTTATGCCCAGCTCTGCCACTGGTTTGCTTTGTCACCTTGGTGAAATCACTTAACATCTCAGTCAGCTCCCCAATTTACCATCTGTAAAATAAGTATATTACATAACTACAAACAAATTGTGACGTTTAATGCATTATCATCTGTAAAGAATTTTGAGATTCTCAGAAGAAAGATCCTTGTGTAATATTATCTGCAGAATATAAAGGTGTCTAGACAAAGCAACGATAACAGTATTTTTTTATTTTCTTTATTGTCTCTGGAAAGATATAGCATTCTTCTTATGAATAAAGAGAAAGAGAGAGGTACGGTGTTGTACATTGCTAGGGCACAATCCTGCAAATACTTACACACATCTGCAGCTTCACTCACACAAGTAGTGGGACTACTCACAGGAGTAAAGTTACACATACATGTAAGTATTTGCAAAATTAGGCCCCTCATGAGTACAATAGTCTCTTTTCCTTTTGTACTTATTGCTGATGTAGACTTCAGAATTGCATTTGCTGCAGCTACAGACATACCAGTATTTGAAATATTTGATTGGAATGAAAATTTCTGAGCTGGGGTTTCCATCTTCCTGGTTTTTTTCCCCAGCTCCAAGTGCTGTCAAAAACATTCACGTTTCAGCCAATGGGATGACAAACAGCCTGAGAGTGAACTGGACTCCTGGAGGAGGAGATGTTGATTCCTACACAGTGACACTATTCCATCAGAACTATCAGCTTGATTCCCAGACTGTCTCCAAGCCTGTCTATGAGCATACCTTCAGCAAGTTAGAAGCAGGGGAGCAGTACCGGGTTGTGGTACAGTCTAACAGCGGCACCCTGCACAACAGTTTAACGGCTCTCGGACGTACAAGTACGTTTCTTAGTGGAAAAAGGGCAAAAAGTGCCATACGTTCCCATCAGATTAGTACTATTTTATAACAGTATTTTATTATTTGTCTATATGGTGTCCCAAAGTGTCTGGGGAGACTCAGATGTGTAAGGAGATGGGTCTCTGTCACAAAGAGTTTGAAGGCTTGATCCTGCAAACCTACCTGGTAGTAATTTCGCTGGTGTGAATAATCACATTGGCGTCAGTGGGACTTCTCATGTGGGCAACTTTACTTGAGTAAATATTTGTGAGAATGGGCCCTCCAGTCCAAACTCTGCCATGGGATCTGCTAATGCAGCCTCTTATGCCTGCCTGGAATCCCAAAGGAGCCGGTGGGACTCCACACAGTGTGCTAGAAGAGCCCACTGCATGATCAGGGGCTCCCAGAAAATGGAAGAGATGCAACTCAATATCATGATTTAAATCCTCTTCCTCTTTTTGTGTGAGCCTGTGTTTTGCTTTGGGACTGGGCTTTTGGGGGGAGTAGCCCTTGGCTAAGATGTTTTCTGTCATCCCGTACTTGCCTGTCTTGTCTATTATTTTGACAGTTTTGTTGTTTCTTTGCGTTTTAATACTTGTTTATATTCCTTTGAAACCTGTGATGGTTTTTCAGCTATTTATACACACTACACACACACATATCCTCTTTGTAGTATAAAAGCTAAATAAATTCTCTCTCTTTCTGGTCCTTCAATTTTTTTTTTTAAATAGCCCTCTCCTGGTCATCCCTTTCTCTGCTGTCCCAAGCACCATGACTCTCTGGAAACCACCCCACTACACCTCCTCTTATCCATTGCTTCCCAACCCAACCTTGGCCTTGGTGTGCTTTAGCTACTTTACACACTGGAGGAAAAAGAAATGTAACCTGAGGCCAAGGGAAGGGTTGTAAGTGTCTCAGCCAGGGACAATGACTGCTACAACAAGAGGGCGAGAATGCGATATTGGAGAGTAGGCAGTCTAGTCACTACTTTGGCCCCAGCTTTCATACGATCTTTTATTATTTCTTAGATATGACTATATAAACAAGTATGCAACTTTTGTTAGAACAACATTGAATAGTCATGGGCTGGAGTCTGCTTTATGAATTTATGCTCCATGGAGCAGAGAACGGGGGAGAGGAGGGGAGGAGTCTCCCGGGTGTTGATTACAGTTCTCTAATTCATTCCCAAGGGGCTGTCTGCCAGCTGCGGGTAGCCAGAGCACAGCACACCCCCTACACCTCCCTTCCACCCTCCAGCCACTAGGAGTTGTGGGGAGTTTGTCCGAGAGCTGGTTTCTCTGCCTGCTGGGGTCTCTCCCATGCTGAGGAAATTCAAAGTTGGGGAGGTGCAGATGACATATAAAGCTATAAAACTGTATCATTTAGTGGGTTAGCCAGCCTTCCAACATTGCATTCCATGCTCTATACGCTCCCCAAATATTATTTATTTTAATTTTTTTTTAATAAATGTGTGTAATTCTATATAGGGCAGACGCAATGAACAGAGATACGCATAACAGGCAACTTTTCGAATGCTGTGGGAGTGTTGCACACAGACTGTGAAAGCGAGGTGTTTAGCCATTTTTATGAAGCAGAGTCTAACAGAAATGACTTCAATTCACCACTATTGGTAGAACAAAAAAAATCTGTCTCTTTAAAAACCCGTTTAATCTAATCTACAAGATCTAAAGTGCCTTAACCATAATTTATGTAATGACTGCATGGTACATGGTGCACAGTTAAGGTTGTTTTGGGTGCCCTACTGATACATTTCCATAGAAGAACATTCATACTCTTTTTTTTTTTAAGTTTAACCTTCACTTTGAATTTCCAGGAGGTATAATGCCTGGTTTGGAGATAATTACAAGATCCCTGTAATACATCTTACCCTAAATTACGGAAAGTAGTTTTTGTGTAGGAATTCTGTCTGTCTGTGTGCGCGCAAATACACACATACACATACATACACCACATGCATCGGTATGAGCCGACATACATAAATATTTTTCACAAATATTTTACACAGTTAATTATGTTAATTCACAAACACATATTAAGTGATACAAAATTAACCTCACAATCTCTTTAATTGTTGTTCCCAGTTCCTTCCTCTGTCCAGGGTTTATTTGCAGATCATGCCTACAGCAGTCATTCCTTGTTAGTGACCTGGCACAGTGGTCCTGGAGTGGCTGAGAGATATGACATCCTGCTTTTGACTGAGCAAGGTATCCTTCTGAGCAATAAATCAGAGCCAGCAACTGCTAAACAGCACAAATTTGAAGATTTAATACCAGGCAAGAAGTATAAAGTGCAAATGTTGACAGTCAGCGGTGGGCTCTTCAGCAGCCGAGCAGAAACCGAAGGCCGAACAGGTAGAGCATTTCAGCATTATTTACAGTATCTGCAGTAAGATATGGTATGAATATAATGATTCATTCAAATATCTAGTTATCCAAAAAGCTCCAGTAGGAACCAGTCTCCTTGAATCAATGCATCGTTTTTCTGAGATACGTTTAATGTAAAAAATTGAAAATTGCTTACAAAGGGGTGTGGATTTTCCAGGTTGTTGTGAAAGGATCAGTAGCCTTTGGCACGCGGCCCATCAGGGTAAAACTGGGCCAGGCCGGTTTGTTTACCTGCCGTGTCTGCAGGTTCAGCTGATCGCAGCTCCTACTGGCCTTGGTTTGCCGTTCCAGGCCAATGGGGGCTGCAGGAAGGGTGGCCAGCACATCCCTTGGCCTGCGCCTCCACATTGGCCTGAAGCGGCGAACCGCAGCCAGTAGGAGTTGCCATCGGCCAAACCCGAGGACGCGGCAGGTAAACAAACAGGCCCGGCCTGCCAGGGCTTTCCCTGATGGGCCACGTGCCAAAGGTTGCTGATCCCTGTTGTAGTGCATTGTATATTGAAGCAGAGAGTTGAGGAGTGTTGCTATAGTTAAGAATCTCTCTGCATGTCCATTATATAGCCATGTTAACTCTTTCTATTGTCTATCCTTAAATTCACTTGGCTTATATAGGATCCTAGCCCCAACTTGAATACAAATATACTGCCAGTGTTGCCAACCTTTTCTCAGGCAAAACTTCACATTGATGTTAAAGAGAAGTTTTGTGTGAGTCTAGACTGGAGGATTGAGCCCCTTGGTTATCATACATATTACATATGTGTTGCTAAATGGCATCTATAACTTACAAAAGTTTTCATCTTGTTTCTGGACGTCATTGTTTTTGTGCTTTTACGTTATATGAATGTAGTTCTCAGTGGCTTAATAGAAACTTCTTCTAGTCATAAGTGTCATTTTAACTGAGATTTAGCTTAGTTACTAGAATCTCTGACATTTTCTCCTATATTTATCCCTGTTTCCAGTCCCAGCTGCTGTCACAAATCTGAAGGTCACAGAAAACACCAATGGACGCCTGTCATTCAGCTGGACTACCTCCCAGGGAGAACTGGACTCCTATAATATCTTTCTGTACAATCCAGACAAATCCCTCCAGGACAGAATTTCAGGAGACCAGAACCTTCAGCAGTGTTCTTTCCAGAACTTGCGGCAAGGCAGGATGTATAAAATGGTGATTGTTACCCACAGTGGAGAGCTCACAAATGAGTCATCCGTATTTGGAAGAACAGGTAGGAGCATCTAGCAGGATAATCCATCCCCAATGAAATCTTCCTTAAGGACATCGGTGAGCTAATCTAATAGCCAAAAGCTGGTACTAGAGTCTAGTAAAGCTGTTAGAAGTATCCAAGCTGTATTTATACATCAAAGGCATTATCTAAAAGAAAGCTAAATTCTAAATTATGTGACAACTGTTTTCAGATAATAAATAAGTAAATATTGTCCTAATTTATTATCTGCGGCCCAATGGTACCTAGGTGTCCCAATCAAGGGCAGGAGCCCTATTGTGCTAGAAGCTATATAGGTATAAATAAAAAGACAGTCCTCTGCCCCAAAGAGCTTACAGCACTGGTTTATGATAAGATGCAGCAAGTGGGCAAAACAAACGGGGAAGGGAGAAGACAAGGTGGCTAACAGTGAAATGAAAAAGCTTTTCATGATTAGCACTAGTTTCAGCTTACCATTTGTCTACCCACTGCCAGGTGGCAGGGTGTTGTAGGCATTTGTAAGAGCTATGTTACTCCCCAAAACCTCCTCTAATCTCCCACTACTCCCCCTCCTCCTCTTCCCTCCCCCCTTCCCCCCCGATACACACACACACACACTGAAATTCCTGAAATTTGTTTCCTGTTTTTTGGCCACCTGTGCTATGTATATCTAGATCTTTATATGGCCACTATCACAGCACTACCGTAGCACTATTCTTCCCCAAAATGTTCAGTGTGTAGTAACTGTGTACCCTCTCTTTCAGTTCCAGCCCCAGTTATTAATCTCAACAGCTCCAACAGAAACATGACAGGCAGTCTGTGGTTCACCTGGGGACCAGCATCAGGAGATGTAGACTATTATGAACTGAATCTTTATAACCCAAATGGCACACAGAAGGAAACAAGGCATGGGAAAGACCTGAGAGAGTGGCATTTCCTGGGCCTAGTTCCTGGCAGAAAGTATACCCTGGTTGTAGTGACCCACAGCGGTGACCTGACCAATACAGCAAAGACTGAGGGAAGAACAGGTAAAGAACTGCAGTGGCTTTTTGCCCCCAACTGTCAGAATTTACAGCAGTTCATTGATATGTGATGGATTTATTCTGAGATAAGATTTTTATTGCATGAATTATTAAAGGCATAGAAAAGTACAAGTAAGACCATCATAAATAGTATTACATTAATGGCAGGAAATAAATCAGAGTCCGACTGGTTTATTCGGTGTCCTGTTTCTTATCAATGTTACTGTGCAGAAGCCGGAGAGAAAAGAAGTCTAAGATAATGGCTGTTTTGTCTCACACACCCATCCTGTGTGCAAATGTCATGAGACTTTTTCTTTTCATTTTGCCCCTTGTGTCTAGCACCCAGTCCTCCTAGTGCTGTATCATTTGCCGATGTTGCAAACACCTCCCTGTCAATCACCTGGCTGGGTCCCCCAGACTGGACGGATTATGATGACTTTGAGTTGCAATGGTTCCCGAGAGATCCCCTTACAGTCTTCAACCCGTACAGCAACAGCAGATCAAAGGGACGCATCATGTATGGCCTTCGACCGGGACGGCTCTATAATTTCAGTGTCAGGAGCGTCAGCGGCAACACCTGGAAGACATACAGTCAATCACTGTCTGGAACTGTGAGAACAAGTAGGAACCCATTTGTTATTGAACCCTTATTGCTCATCTGGAGATGATGCTGAAACAGTACGGCCAATGAGTTAAATCTTACCCATCCCAATTAAGCATTTACTAATTTCTACTAGTTGATTCAAGAATGTCTGGATATGGAGTCCAGTAGAAATCAAAATGTTCCTTTGTCCTGCCCTACAGCAAGTATGTAAAGATTAGAAATGAACACAAGCTGCAAAATTCAGATCCAGATCAAAACATTCCTGAAATTCTGGACTATTTGGTTCCAGGTTTCGATTTATCATAGAATCAGAAAAATGTAGGGCTGAAAGGGACCTTGAGAAGACATCAAGTCCAGCCCCCTGCATTGAGGTAGGACCAAATAAACCTAGACCATCTCTGACAGGTGTTTGTCTAATCTGTTCTTAAAAACCTCCAAGGATGAGGATTCCACACCCTCCCTTGGAAGCCTATTCCAAAGTTTATCTAACTTTATGGTTAGAAAGTTTTTCCTAATATCTAACCTAAATCTCCATGATGCAGTTTAAGCCCATTACCTCTTGTCCTATTTCCAGTGGACATGAAAAACAATTGATCACTGTCCCCTTTATAACAGCCCTTACCATAGTTGAAGACTGTTATCAGGTCCCTGTTCAGTCTTCATTTCTGAAGACTAAAAATGCACAGGTTTTTTTTAACTTCCTCAAAGGTCAGGTTTTCTAAGCCTTTTCTCAATTTTTGCTGCTCTGCTCTGGCCTGTCTGCTGATTCAGATCCAAACGTCTTTGAAGTTCAGGATTATTTAGATTCTGAAATTTGGAGTGGGTCCATCAAGATATTTTGAGCAATCAAAAAGGAAGTGTGTTCCTGGGGCACAAGAAGGCCTTGGGTATAGTAGATCTGAAAAAGTAAAGTCAAAGAGTTCCTTTCCTCTTAATAGCTGTTTGTCAATGTTTGTGGCTTCCACCCATATTTATCTGAGTCCAGCTGATCTCATTAACAGTCTGATGAGAAGACTGCCCTGAAGTGGACAGAATAGCTAAACCATGGGGAACATTTTGGACCATACAGTAATCTGTACTTTGGGTCATATGTTGTACTTCACATGGTGTAACTAAAACACATATTTTGCACAGTGAAATACATACTTCATAGACATGCCCTGTTGAGATGGACATTTCATATGTTACACAGGAAACCAGATTCACACATAGTTCATGTGACTTTTGTCCTCTCAGCCTTGAGAGGACTGTGTTGTGGTTTCCATTTCTGATTATTCAGCTGAACTACTAGTCTTGTGATAAACTGCAGATTCGAACTGCTAAATGTAGACTAGACGGCCTAAACTTTCATTTTTGTTTCTTTGCATGTTACACCTTGAAAACATTTTAAGCGACAAAATAGCAAATTTTTGCCACTTGAATTCAAAGTGCTAATTGGAGAAGTAAAAGGACAGAATAAAGATGTTAGCTGCTATGCTTCTTCCCCTAATCACATCAGGAGGCAGTGAAACTGCAGCAAAAAGTCTTATTAGTGATAAGAAAAGGAGTACTAGTGGCACCAGCTACAGCTCACTTCATGCTCAAATAAATTGGTTAGTCTCCACGGTGCCACAAGTCCTCCTTTTCTTTTTGCGGATACAGACTAACACGGCTGCTACTCTGAAACCTGTTATTAGTGATAGTGCCATGTAGAGGGATAAGGGGAATAGAAAGGGCAATTCATATGCACACACCATTTAGCCCTGTTAGCTTTCTTCCATAAAAGACCTGCAAAACTGGGCTATGTTTGCAAAGGAGTTGGGCCTAGGGGGTGGATGAGAGGAGCCATGAAAAAGCTATGCTAAGTGACATACATAGAGAGAGAGATATTTGGTGAAAATTTTGGTCTATACTTTGGGGGGGGGGGTGAGTGTGTACGTGAGTGTACATACACACACAGAGTATGGGTCAAAATCTTAACCAAAAAAATTAACTATGTACTCTGTGACTTCTCTCAGTGGAAATTCATACCTGATATAAGTGGGTGGAAATCACAGGGTCACATTCTAGAAGGAAAATACTGGTCACTTTTATTCCTGCAGAGGTCTGTGATCAGTTTGTTCCTTGCATTGATTTTATGCTGGAGGGAAATGTAAAGGCCTTAACATTATGGGCATGTTTATTAGGTAGGGTCACCGTACTCCTTAGCTGATACTTTGCAACTGTAAGTTGATTTGTTTCAAAAAGAGTGATCCAGCCAAGATTTTCAGAAGTGACTGATGGTTTGGGATGCCCCAGTCTCAAAACTTTTTAAGTGGGCCTAATTTTCAGAAAGTGCTAAGCACCTACTCTCTGAAAATCTGGCCACTTTAAGGTGGCAGAAGTTAGTACCTATAATTATTCATCACTTCTGAAAAATTTGGCCTTTTTACATTTAGCATCTCAGAGGACAACAGTGGTTAGACCAGAGGTCGGCAACTTTCAGCACACGGCCCATCGGAGTAATCTACTGGCGGGCTGCGAGACATTTTGTTATGTTGACCGTCTGCAGGCATGGCTCCCGCAGCTCCCAGTGACTGCGGTTTGCCATTCCTGGCCAATAGGAACTGCGGGACACAGGGATGTGTTGGCTGCCACTTCCCACAGCTCCAGTTGGCCAGGAACAGCAAACAGCAGCCACAGGGAGCTGCGGGGGGCTGTGCCTGCAGACGGTCAATGTAAACAAAATGCCTCACGGCCTGCCAGTGGATTACCCTGATGGGCCGCGTGCTGAAGGTTGCCAACGCCTGGGTTAGACCTTTTTCCAAGTATTATACAAATGTTTTTAGTTGGTTGGTTTTTGGTTTTGGGGTGTTTTTGTTTTTTTTTTACATGTATCTCTAGCTTTTCACCTTGAAAGTTAGAGTTTGACAATGGTGCCTTGATTTAATTTCATTTTTGTGCTGTGTCAAAATGTGTTCCTTTAATTAGTTCCTTTAATTAGAACTTTTTAAATGATCTTATATTATTTACAAAAAGAAAAGGAGTACTTGTGTCACCTTAGAGACTAACAAATTTATTTGAGCATAAGCTTTCGTGAGATATAGCTCACTTCATCGGATGCATTCGGTGGAAAATACAGTGGGGAGATTTATATACATAGAGAACATGAAACAATGGGTGTTACCATACACACTGTAACAACAGTGATCAGTTAAGGTGAGCAGGAGAGTGGGGGCAGGAAAAACCTTTTGTAGTGATAATCAAGGTGGGCCATTTCCAGCAGTTGACAAGAACGTCTGAGGAACGGTGGGGGGGGGAAGGGAATAAACATGGGGAAATAGTTTTACTTTGTGTAATGACCCATCCACTCCCAGTCTCTATTCAATCCTAAGTTAATTGTATCCAGTTTGCAAATTAATTCCAATTCAGCAGTCTCTCATTGGAGTCTGTTTTTGAAGTCTTTTTGTTGAAGAATAGCCATTTTTAGGTCAGAAATAGAGTGACCAGAGAGATTGAAGTGTTCTCCGACTGGTTTATGAATGTTATAATTCTTGACATCTGATTTGTGTCCATTTATTCTTTGACGTAGAGACTGTCCAGTTTGACCAATGTACATGACAGAGGGGCATTGCTGGCACATGATGGCATATATCACATTGGTAGATGTGCAGGTGAACGAGCCTCTGATAGTGTGGCTGACGTGATTAGGCCCTATGATGGTGTCCCCTGAATAGATATATGGGCACAGTTGGCAACGGGCTTTGTTGCAAGGATAGCTTCCTGGGTTAGTGGTTCTGTTGTGTGGTGTGTGGTTGCTGGTGAGTATTTGCTTCAGGTTGGGGGGCTGTCTGTCTCCCAAGATCTGTGAGAGTGATGGGTCTTCCTTCAGGATAGGTTGTAGATCCTTGATGATGTGTTGGAGAGGTTTTAGTTGAGGCTGAAGGTGATGGCTAGTGGCGTTCTGTTATTTTCTTTGTTGGGCCTGTCCTGTAGTAGGTGACTTCTGGGTACTCTTCTGGCTCTGTCAAACTGTTTCTTCACTTCAGCAGGTGGGTATTGTAGTTGTAAGAATGCTTAATAGAGATCTTGTAGGTGTTTGTCTCTGTCTGAGGAGTTGGAGCAAATGCGGTTGTATCGTAGAGCTTGGCTATAGACAATGGATCATGTGGTGTGGTCTGGATGAAAGCTGGAGGCATGTAGGTAGGCATAGCGGTCAGTAGGTTTCCGGTATAGGGTGGTGTTTATGTGACCATCGCTTATGAGCATCGTAGTGTCCAGGAAGTGGATCTCTTGTGTGGACTGGTCCAGGCTGAGGCTGATGGTGGGATGGAAATTGTTGAAATCATGGTGGAATTCCTCAAGGTCTTCTTTTCCATGGGTCCAGATGATGAAAATGTCATCAATGTAGTGCAAGTAGAGTAGGGGCATTAGGGGACGAGAGCTGAGGAAGCGTTGTTCTAAGTCAGCCATAAAAATGTTGGCATACTGTGGGGCCATGCGGGTACCCATAGCAGTGCCGCTGATTTGAAGGTATACATTGTCCCCAAATGTGAAATAGTTATGCGTGAGGACAAAGTCACAAAGTTCAGCCACCAGGTTTGCCGTGACATTATCGGGGATACTGTTCCTGACGGCTTGTAGTCCATCTTTGTGTGGAATATTGGTGTAGAGGGCTTCTACATCCATAGTGGCCAGGATGGTGTTTTCAGGAAGATCACCGATGGATTGTAGTTTCCTCAGGAAGTCGGTGGTGTCTCGAAGATAGCTGGGAGTGCTGGTAGCATTGGGCCTGAGGAGGGAGTCTACATAGCCAGACAATCCTGCTGTCAGGGTGCCAATGCCTGAGATGATGGGGCGTCCAGGATTTCCAGGTTTATGGATCTTGGGTAGCAGATAGAGTACACCAGGTCGGGGTTCCAGGGGTGTGTCTGTGCGGATTTGTTCTTCTGCTTTTTCAGGGAGTTTCTTGAGCAAACGGTGTAGTTTCTTTTGGTACCTCTCAGTGGGATCAGAGGTAATGGCTTATAGAAAGTGGTGTTGGAGAGCTTCCTACCAGCCTCTTGTTCATATTCCGACCTATTCATGATGACAACAGCACCTCCTTTGTCAGCCTTTTTGATTATGATGTCAGAGTTGTTTCTGAGGCTGTGGACGGCATTGTGTTCTGCACAGCTGAGGTTATTGGGCAAGTGATGCTGCTTTTCCACAATTTCAGCCCGTGCAAGTCGGCGGAAGCACTCTATGTAGAAGTCCAGTCTGTTGTTTCGACCTTCAGGAGGAGTCCACCCAGAATCCTTCTTTTTGTAGTCTTGGTAGGAAGGTCTCTGTGGATTAGTATGTTGTTCAGAGATGTGTTGGAAATATTCCTTGAGTCGGAGACATCGAAAATAGGATTCTAGGTCACCACAGAACTGTATCACGTTCGTGGGGGTGGAGGGGCAGAAGGAGAGGCCCCGAGACAGGACAGATTCTTCTGCTGGGCTAAGAATATAGTTGGATAGATTAACAATATTGCTGGGTGGGTTAAGGGAACCATTGCTGTGGCCCCTTGTGGCATGTAGTAGTTTAGATAGTTTAGTGTCCTTTTTCTTTTGTAGGGAAGCAAAGTGTGTGTTGTAAATGGCTTGTCTACTTTTTGTAAAGTCTAGCCACGAGAAAGTTTGTGTGGAAGGTTGTTTTTTTATGAGAGCATCCAGTTTTGAGAGCTCATTCTTAATCTTTCCCTGTTTGCTGTAGAGGATGTTGATCAGGTGGTTCCGCAGTTTCTTTGAGAGTGTGTGGCACAAGCTGTCAGCATAGTCTGTGAGGTATGTAGATTGTAATGGATTTTTTACTTTCAGTCCTTTTGGTGTGATGTCCATCTGTTTGCATTTGGAAAGGAAGATGATGAACCTTGTATTTTTGCTACAAGGAGCTGAGGGGTAAATTACTAATTCCTGCTATTTTAGCTCCCTCTTTTGCAATGTACAGTATTTGATTCTTCAGCTGTAATGTATTTCTTTGGACAATTGTGGAAAATAAGGCTGAAAGGAAAAAGAGAAGTTTATAAATAGCATGTTAAACATTTGTGCCTTTCACTGTAGAGTGTGTGCTATATGATATGGACATTTCATTGTAAGAAGTATGCATTTCAATTACGCTGTATGATGAGGGGTATTTTTTAACTAGATTTAAGCTCCAGTTGTACCATAGTTCTAATAATATGTTGGATTCCTATTGCACCTTTCTTCAGAAGATCTGAAAAGTTTTTTTACAGTTAATTACTGACGAGTCACAGTTCTTTGGAGGTCGATGGCATTAATTCAGTTTACAGAGATAAAATGAGGTCAAGTGACTTGCCTAAAATCTTTCAGCAAGTGTGCGGTAGAGCTAGGAATCCTGATTCTTAGTCCCTTTGCTCTAATTAAATTATTAATTTAGACTTGAGTGCTAAGACTGATGGCCAAGCCATAGAGTAAGCACAAAATGTATAATGCATGTCCTCTGTTACATTACGCTTCAACTTTTCAACCTCTCCCCTCCATCTTTAGGACCAGACAGAATACAAAACCTTCACTGCCGGCCACAAAACTCTACTGCCATTGCATGTTCCTGGACCCCGCCTGACTCTGACTTCGATGGATATAGTATTGAATGCAAAAAAATGGACACTGGAGAAGTTGAGTTTTCCAAAAGGATCGAGAAAGAAAAATCTTTGCAAAACATCATGATGCTAGTACCCCACAAGAGATACTTGGTGTCCATCAAAGTGCAGTCTTCAGACATGACTAGTGAGGTAGTTGAAGACAGCACCATCACTATGATAGACCGTAAGTCCTTGATGTATCAAATACATAGGTACAGTGGCATGGAGGGAGAAGGTGAACAGGGATAAGGTGAACAGGAATAAGCTATCATCTGGTCCTGTTGGTTAGTCAGCAGACTTTTCGACCTCCAAACCTGCCTGTTATGTCACACCAGCCACCGAAATGTGTGACCAGTGACCAAAATGGGGAACACCTGTATTTAGTTGCACGCTGTGCCAGATTATAAGGCTCTTAAACTATAAAACTTCTTTAAAGGATTTTTTATCACTGTGTGAATCTTATTGTAAAACTGGTTTATTTGACTCACGCAGTGAGAACAAACTTGAAAACAAGTTTTATAATCTGTCAGTCATGGCACAACATGCAGCCTACAACTGACCCTTGTTCTCCTCTGGGTTTGCCTCTTTGCTGCCCCCTGGTCCTTTCCTCTCACCAAATGCCATCGCCAAGTCAAAATAGTGGGAAGCCACTTAGAGCCTTCAGGAAGTTGGGGCAGTGGCTCTTCTTCAGGCTTTACTCCCTCTTCTCTCAGATGATGAGTTTGCGTCGGGCAGTGGAGATGAAGGAGGAGCACTGCTCTGCAGACTCCTCTCAGACTCCCTTGTGGCTCCTCCCTTGGGCTGCAAATGGGTTGTAAATGGCAGCTTGCAGCTACTCAACAACATACACAAGGAGGGAGGTAATGCCAGCCCGCATGGTACTGCCCTGTGCATGGTGATGTCTCTCTCTACTGTGCACAAGCCACTCACAGGAATCTCCTTCTCCCTTCTTCACCTTGGCTGGTCAGCAGCTGCTGCTGACACTCAAGTTGTGGCAATCCACGGGTCACCTCCAGTCTGTGTGGTACAGCATGACAGAGAGCCTTAATTACCCCCAAGGCCAAATGTTCCATGAAGTATAGTGTGATTGACAGGTCTGGTCACCAGTCCCCCCTTGGCTGCACAGAGCCAAGGAGAACTACAAAGTCCAGTCGCTAAAAACCCCTACAAATCCTACACTGAGCAATAAGGGGTTAATAAGCTAATGGAGACTCAGCTGAGAGATGTCAGAATTGGAGGGAGGAACTTAAAAGGGAGAAACCTAGCTCAGCTGATGACAAATCAGGGAGGAGAGCAGATCTTGGAAAAATGGATGGCTGAATGCAGGAGCCCCATTGGGCAGCCACTGCCCAATGGTCCCTTCCTGAAGGAAGGGAGGACCTGATGCTGACTCACCTTAAAAGGAGACTATTCCTCTCTGTTGGTGAACTCGGATTAGGGCCACAGCCTGATGAGTGCCCTCTGAAGGAAGAGAACTTTAACCCAGCTTTGGGACCATTCATTTGTGTCAATTCCTCTTTCTTCTGTTCATTGACAACCCTGGCAGGTTATCTGGTGTCCAGCCACTGGTGGGCCTCTTAGGACTGGAACTGGGAATGGTAAAACCACCCAGACATTCCAGAGCTGTGACCCCAATGATTGCTGGGGCCCTGCCCAGAGCCTGGGAAAAAAGAACATGGTAAAACCCACCCTTCACATGAATTGCAACCAAGCCCTGTCTCTTCTCTACTACAAGAGATGCTATGAGTTCAGATAAAATCAGAGATAACCTGAGCATCACCAGATACAGCAACAGAACCTCTTTGAAGGCTTAACTGTTCTCCATTGTTTTCATTTTTAGACATCTCTGCACTATCAAGTTCTGGTTGAGCTTGGAAGCAAGATTGTCTAAATACCATGAGGGAGCCAGCTCTCCCAAGAATTCCAGACTGGTCTTACAGATGGAAGATTATCTGGCTAGGCTTCAAATAAGCTTGTGAACTATTGGTTCCTTATCCACACCGAAACCCTTTAAATTTTGGCCATGACTATTAAACAGTAGATACTGATACAGTATATGTGGCTATATAGGTTATTGAAAACATTGAGCTGCGATCTCTATTACAGTGCTCTAGTGTTCCATTGAGAGGCTTGCATCAGATATACTTTATTCCCCCCCCTCTTTTTCCTTTTCCGTTTCACAGAATCATAGACCTGGAAGGGACCTCGAGAGGTCATCTAGTCCAGTCCCCTGCACTTAAGGCAGGACTAAGTATTATCTAGACCATCCCTGACAGGTGTTTGTCCAACCTGCTCTTAAAAATCCCCAATGATGGAGATTTCACAACTTCTCTAGGCAATTTATTCCAGTGCTTAACCACTCTGACAGGAAGTTTTTCCTAATGTCCAACCTAAACCGCCCTTGCTGCAATTTAAGCCCATTGTTTCTTGTCCTATCCTCAGAGGTTAAGAACAATTTTTCTCCCTCCTCCTTGTAACAACCTTTTATGTACTTGAAAACTGTTATCATGTCCCCTCTCAGTCTTCTCTTCTCCAGACTAAACAAACCCAATTTTTTCAATCTTCCCACATAGGTCATGTTTGCTAGACCTTTAATCATTTGTGTTGCTCTTCTCTGGACTTTCTCAGATTTGTTCACATCTTTCCTGAAATGTGGCACCCAGAACTGTACACAATACTCTAGTTGAGGCCTAATCAGCGTGGAGTAGAGTGGAAGAATTACTTCTTGTGTCTTATAATTGCTTATAATACTCCTGCTAATACATCCCAGAATGATGTTTGCTTTTTTTGCAACAGCATTACACTGTTGACTCATATTTAGCTTGTGATCCACTATGACCCCCAGACCCCTTTCCACAGTACTCCTTCCTAGGCAGTCATTTCCCATTTTCTGTGTGTGCAACTGATTGTTCCTTCCTAAGTGGAGTACTTTGCATTTTTCCTTATTCAATTTCATCCTGTTTACTTCAGCCCATTTCTCGAGTTTGTCCAGATCATTTTGAATTTTAATCCTATCCTCCAAAGCACTTGCAACCCCTCCCAGCTTGGTATCGTCTGCAAACTTTATAAGTGTACTCTCTATGCCATTATCTAAATCATTGATGAAGATATTGAACAGAACCAGACCCAGAACCGATCCCTGCAGGACCCCACTCGTTATGCCCTTCCAGCATGACTGTGAACCACTCATAACTACTCTCTAGGGACGATTTTCCAACCAGTTATGCACTCACCTTATAGTAGCTCCGTCTAGGTTGTATTTCCCGTTTAGTTCCTGATGTATCACTGTTCAACATATAGCTTGTTTAGACATATGGCAGATACAAATGCCAGTTCCCTATGGAAGCCATTCTATAAATCTGATATCAGATCGTCTATATGTAAATACTTTGCTTAATTGACTCAGTGTCGTGTTTTGTTTCTTGGACATTGTTTATTGTTTGATTTGATGTGAGAGGGAGAAATCTAGATGTTTCAAAGCAAATGTCTATCTGCAGCCTTAGTGGTCTCAAAGTACCCAGATTGAACCCACCTCTGAAAATGCTATTTTAGCGGCTATAGTTTAAGACTGCATGGATTTAATGAGACATTAATGCAATCCTGGGCAGCTTCTGCAAAAAATTCTACTGTAAGGAGCTGCCTCTGTCATTACGTTTAAAACACCGCTGGTCTGTTACGTCTTCTGGCAGCTTCTCTGCTGGAGAGGGATACACTTTGGGCAGGTCTACACTACAGCAGGGATCGACGCTCTGAGATCGATCCACCAGCAGTCGATTTAGCAGGTCTAGTAAAGACCCGCCAAATCGACTGCAGATCGCTCTCCAGTCGACCCCTGAACTCTACCCTTGACGAGAAGAGTAAGGTAAGTTGACGGGAGATTTTCTCCCATCGGCCCCCTGCGGTGTAGACCCCACGGTAACTTGACCTAAGGTACGTTGACTCCAACTACATTATTCACGTAGCTGGAGTTGCGTAGCATAGGTCAACTTATCGCGGTAGTGTAGACATAGCATTTGTGACAGCAAAGAGTATAATATGAGAGACTTTGGGTCTAAATGGTTGAGTTTTGTTGAGATTTGCACATCATTTACTGTTATTATGTAATTAAAAATATATAGATGGTGATGTACTTTATTTCGCCCTCCCTCTCTCTTCTTTTCCAGGCCCCCCTCCTCCACTTCCCCACATCCGAGTAAACAAAAAGGATGCACTCATTACCAAATCTTCCATCAACTTTACTTTCAACTGCAGCTGGTTCAGTGACACCAACGGAGCTGTGAAATACTTTACTGTCGTTGTGAGAGAGGCTGATGGTAAGTTTTTATGAATTAGTAGGTTTCTTTCTGTAACCCGTATTAACATAAGGAGTGTATTTGTCCTCATCTCCTGGCCAGATTTCAGAAGAGGTGTATGGATCTGCTTCTGACAATGAACCTGGTCCTTTAACTCAGCAGGGAGAGGCTTTTAGATCCAGAGGTCCATAGATTCATAGATACTAAGGTCAGAAGGGACATTATGATCATCTAGTCTGACCTCCTGCACAACGCAGGCCACAAAATTTCACCCACCCTCTCCTGCGAAAAACCTCTCACCTATGTCTGAGCTAAGTCCTCAAATCGTGGTTTAAAGACTTCAAGGAGCAGAGAATCCTCCCGCAAGTGACCCGTGCCCCATGCTACAGAGGAAGGCGAAAAACCTCCAGGGCCTCTGCCAATCTGCCCTGGAGGAAAATTCCTTCCCGACCCCAAATATGGCAATCAGCTGAACCCTGAGCATGTCGGAAAGATTCACCAGCCAGATACTACAGAAAATTCTTTCCTGGGTAACTCAGTTCCCACCCCATCTAATATCCCATCACAGGCCATTGGGCCTATTTACCATGAATATTTAATTACCAAAACCATGTTATCCCATCATACCATCTCCACTGGCACCATAGTTAAGGACAGAGTTTTACTTCAATCTCTGGGATGTTACCATCCACATGTTTGGACAGTTTCCTTACTTAGAAGATGAGAGAACTCAAAGCAAATGTCGCAGAGAATAGAAATGGGACAGATTGTCTTGCTATGCACTGATTCAATAACGTAGTTTAGGCACTAACTTGAAGCAGGTGAGAGTGCATCTCAGCTTCAGTCTCTGTGGCCTTCAGTGTTGCCTGCTAAGCCGTTATTAGAAAACAAAGGTAGCTTACAGTCTGAATAAAATGATTCATGTTGTTTATTTCATGAGGCAAATTGCTCTCACATACACCAGTGTAAATGGAAGCAGAAAATGTCCCCATGTAGTGCATATATATTTCCTTCCTTGTGCTATCCTGTAGAGAAGAAGAGTGGCCTTGCAGTTAAAGTCCTAAACTAGGACTCAGGAGGTCTGAGTTTAATTTTTGACATTGCCACAAGCTCCCTTTGTGACCTTGTGTAAGTCACTTAACCATTCCGCTGTGTCTCTGTTCCCAGGTAAAAATAATCCTTTTTTTCCTCCCACCCTGTGTCGTTCTTGTCTAGTCAGAGTGTAAGCTCTTTGGGGGCAGGGACTGTTTCTCACTATATATTGGTACAGTGCCTAGCACTATCATAAAGAATAAAACATCAGGATTCATTTCTGGGGACTACAATCATTTCCTATTGCAACTATTCTCTGTACCCACTGGCTACTTTTTTTTTTACCCCCTGTGGAAGGAGGCAGATGGCGGGGGGGAAAGCTGGGGGGGGGCAGAATTATGCAGCAGAGGTGATTCACACAACCTTCTCAAGGCATCAAACCCTCCCTGTGCCCACTGTTCTAGAATGGGATCTAGAAGAGATATAGCAAACTGCCCTGAGTTATCTAGCCAAGCAAGCCAGCATCGATCCAAAAATGTCCCCATAGACCAACATGCAGTGTGGGTTCAAATAGAAGACAGTGTGCCTGAAACACTCTGAGGTAGGCTCAGTCCAAAAATACTAAGGGTATGTCTAAATTGGAGCTGGAGGTGTCATTCCCAGCTCAGGTAGACATACCCACGCTAGCGGTGATTGAGATAGCACCCTAACAAGTGGAGCAAATGGTGGTTCCCATCTGACACCCTGTGTGCAGCTACGGCTCTGCTGTTATTTTCAGCACACTAGAGTGATCAGAGCTGGCATGGGCATGTCTATCCCAGCTGGGAATGACACCTCCAGCTGCTGTGTAGACATACCCTAAGACTTAATTTCAGGAATTGTGCCACAAGTCAGCAGTTTGTAGACCATCACTCACTTAAGAAAAGCACAGAGTGTTTCTTTAGGACACACAGTAATTTGAGTCTGTAGAGTTCTCTGTAAAGAAGGGGCTTTCATGTGGCTTAACAATTTGGAAGACAGTATAGCATAGTCTTTATCAGACTGTAAGAAGCTTTTTAAACCACAGTGCCAGGTTGCTTTGAAACACAGAATTTCCTATCTGTAGGAATTTGCTGTTTACCGTAGGAATCTGCTGCGTTCTGCTTCTTCTCCTGGGGATCAGATTACCACACCAGACCAGCTGTTGTTTGTAAAGATAACATAGCTACTAATGACCCCTGCAGTTAAAGTTAATAATAACAGTTTGTATATTGTGTGTTTCTTCCATAGACCTTCAGGTGTGTTACAAAGGAAGGTAATTTGGCAGATGGGAAAACGGAGGCTCAGAGGGCAGTGACTTGCCTATGGTCATACAACAGTTTAGGGTCAAGGCTGGAAATAGATTCCTGGTAGCTAATTCCCAGTCCCATGCTCTATTCACTAGACCATGTTAACTCCCAGACAAAGTACAGAAGTTTGTCAAGTGTTAAATATGTCTACTGATGCCCTCGGCCTTAGATGCACTAATAGCACGAGAGCTGTGGCATATGATGTGCAATTTGTTTTTACCATTTTTATTCCTAGGCAGTGAAGAGCTGAAGCCAGATCAGCAGCACCCGTTACCTTCCTACTTGGAATACAAACATAACAATTCCATACGTGTCTATCAGACCAACTATTTTGCAAGCAAATGTGCTGAAAACCTTGACAGCAACTATAAGAGCTTTGACATTAAGCTTGGAGCTGAGATGGAAAGTCTGGGAGGAAAATGTGATCCCAATCAGCAGAAATTCTGTGACGGGCCACTGAAACCCAGGACTGCCTACAGGTTAGATTTATTGTGGTAATTTTGCTGTGTGAGATGTGCTGTATTATTAGGTACTATGCTATCTCGATGCCTGATGTACTTGAGCTGCCGTAGATTAATAACCTGTATTACATGGTGTGCTCTGTGTTGTACTGTGCAATTTATAAAAGCTTTGTCCCTGCCCCATCTCATATTTAATGTATAAACAGTTCCTTCACCAGCCTGGAAATGCTACAATTCATTATGTGCAAAACTCCGTGCGGTGAAAAGGCCTCTTTATCTCTTTTACTTTGATGGGGAACTTTCCTACAGTTGCTAATTTCTCTGTGGAGAGACTTAAGGGCTGGATCAGCAGCTGAGTCAGGGAAGCATTCGGGACAGTAAAACGGGAGAGCAGGAGATACAAAGGTAGTTTTGTGTTCCTCTAATTCTGTGGACAGGCTCCACCAGGCCAATCTGCTGGTGCAGATTAGAGCAACCCAAAGGGCATTCTACCCTGTGCCAGCTTCCAACAGACTCAGGAAGTCTGTACAGTAGCTGAGGCTGACCAGGACAAAGGGAAGATTTAGCCACAGTTGGGCATGGTGTGGGAGCTGCTAGAGCACCTGTACACCTCCTGTTGCATCCTCTACACTGGCATGAACCTCCAAGGGCTGAATCCAATTACCTTAAGGCCACTTTGCACCTAGGGAACAGCAGAAAGCAGCTGCAGTGTGACCCAGCATCTAGGCCTTAGATTTTAGCCAAAAACTAGAGTATTTGAAGTAAAATCCCCAAACAATTATGATTTGTATTTCAGACAAACTGGATACAATGTATGTTTATGTAGAAGCTGCAGCTTCACATTAAATGTAATTACTTTTCCGTGCTGCATTAAATCAAGCTTAGCTACTAAATGTGGACTATTAAAAACTTAATGGGGCAGTTGTGCAATTGAAGTGAAAGCAGCTTTCAAGTGGGCTCTAGCTGGGTTCAGTGGAAATTATGCCCACTTATCCCTACTCAGAATGAGACCTACTGTGAGTAAAGATTTCTACCTCTTAACTTCTTTGATTCTAAATTCTATCAGCTGGCCGGCAGGAACCTCCACAACAGGTTACCAAAGCCACAATGAGAGCTGAGTGACTAGATCAACAAACCTTTCACAGACACTCATTTCAGCTTTTTAATGAATTTGCTTGGATTTCATTTGAGCTCCTTTTGCTTTCTGTGAATGCTCTTAGAAATGAGTTTGCTGAGAGGAAAATTCATGGACTTAAACAGTGAATTTCAATTGAATGTTGCAGAATTTTTTATTTTGTTCATTGTGTGTATCTGTATCAGAAACCTGCTTAACAACTACGTTCATCCAGTCAAAGAATAGAAGCTTACCAGGTGACCATGTGTCCAATCAAATCAATGTGTTCATGTGAACAGATTTGTTGATGAATTTTCAGTGACAAATTTTTGGCAATCAGGAGCTTGTGAAAATAGCAAAGACCTAAATCCAACAAAGACGCCGCTCACTGTGATTAGTTTGTCCAGCTCATGGAACTACTTTCATGATCCCCAGGAGCCTAAAGTGGTAAAGACCCAATCCTGAAAACATTTATGCACATAAGTAGTCCATTTACAGGCCTAATATCAGGAGAGATGGAAGTAGGTCCTGAATATGACTATTCACATGCAAAGGTGTGTGCAGGATCAGAAGCATAGAATGTAATCCAAATCCAAGACCCCATATGGTAGTACTGAGGGCAGTTATATCCATAGATCAGCTAGTCAGCAGTTTTTTTGGCTTACTGCAGCCCTATACAAAGAACACACTGTGATATATAAGCCTTCCCTCTGATCACACAGTTAGGCAGAAATTTTTTTTCCCCAAGTTTAATATGGTGTGTCACCTAGTATTTAGTCCTTCTTTCATTTTCCCCACATATTGTTGAGCAAAAGATACTAAAAAATGGAATGAACTGCTGAGGTGCTAAAAATATTGGCTTTGAAACTCTCACTAAAGCAGAAGCTGAACAACAAAAGGTATAACAATAACAGTAGTTAGAAGACACAGGAAATGTACTTAGTAAATGTTGTCCAGAAGCCCTGTTTTGTGATTTTGCTATTTCTGTGTTAACCTTTAGTTTTCTCCTGTTTGATACCAACTCCCAAACAGATCTAATAAACCCTTCTGCTTTTCCAGAATCAGTATCCGAGCTTTCACCCAGCTCTTTAGTGAAGACCTGAGGGAATTCACTGAGCCACTCTTCTCAGATACCTTTTTCTCTTTACCAATCACTACTGAGTCAGGTGAGTTTCTCCTTTATTCTATACCAACTGTACCAGTTACATGGGTATGACACCCATTGGTGCTGGAGTGGGTAGGAGAGAGCAGCAAGGACCTTGTTGCTGAACTGAGTTACTTTGAGATTCAGCTCTCCGCCAGTTAATATTCGGTATTCAGCACTGTCGGTTAAAACAATAGCTGTGATGTTTCCCCTTCCATCCATGATTTCCTTCTGAAGTACAAAACTTCCTACAAATTATAGGCGTTCACTTTAAAAGGGAGCCAGAGAGAGAGAGAGCAAGGACTGTGCAGCATCCTTCGGGATAGAAATAATACATAAGGCTAGATTCTCCGGTCTGCTTTCTGCCACTCAAGCTGCTCAAAGTGGACAGAAATGGCTAGTGAAAATTTCCCTTGGTGCAGGGGAGCTCTCTTCTGGTGTGAGAGATGGTATAACCACCTCCTGCACCTGCTGTCCCATGTGTCCAGGGTGTAGGAGAGATGTCAGAGGTGGGAGCGAGGTGTGGCGGAACTATGCTGATCCTTCACAGTGTAAGGTCACCTAGGGACTTTATGCCAGTGGCATGAGTTAGACCTGCTCCTCAGCAACTCTTGACTTATGCCGTGGCCAAGCAGCACAGGATCAGGGAGCCACAACCAGCCCCCGTGTTCCCCGGTCTCAGCTATGGTGGAGCAATAAGCCCGTAGGTTATAAATTGTTTGGGAAGGAACACATTGCCCAATAGAGCTGGGGTCCCTGACTGAGGATCTCGAGTCACTGCTACAATACAAACAATAAATAATAGCATAGCCCCTTGATACAAGGATCTCAATACTTTCCAAACACTGATTAAGCCTCAAAAAAACCCTTGAATCCAGACAACAGTTCCTTTCTGGATTTGAGAATGAAATGGTTTTGTCATCCAGTGTAAATGGTCTTGAAATGGGACTGAATCAGTGAATTATCCTAGACTTAGTTTGAAAAACCCAGTGAACTACTGTAGCCTGGGGAGGAGATCTGAACTCCTGGGAAATCTGGCTGTTTCTTCACTCCCTCATTCTATGGAAGGAGAGAACTTTTTTCTCTTCTACCTGTTTCTTGCCCACCTGATGTACAGTGTAAGTTCTTGAAAAACTAAGGAAGTAATATCAAAGCCCAGTCCTCCAAATATATATGCAGTTGAAGTTCCTTTGTATTTATTTCAGTGTCTTTAACTGATAACACTGTATGTATCTAATTCCTTTGCTCTGTGTGTGTGTGTGTGTGTATCTATCTATCTTAGAACCCATGTTTGGAGTTATAGAAGGCGTGAGTGCTGGTTTGTTTCTCATTCTGATGGTGGTGGCTGTCACTGCTTTATTTGTCTACAGACAAAAAGTTAGGTAAGTAGAAACTCCCTTTTTTAAATTTTTCTTGCACAAGGTCTGATGAAATTAGACATGATTTTCAATCTGAGACACTGAGGAAGGTGTAAAATTGGATGAAAACTTTAAATTGTATTTAGGAAAGCAAAAACCTAATTCCATTTCCCTCACCATTTGTACAAATTGAATATTGAACTAAGAAGCCCCATATTACCCTTGATTAAGGAACAGGATTTCCACTGATTAATAGGAGTTGCATGATTTAAGGCTGCAATGGGACCTTAGGTTCTTAGTAGAGCTGGTCAACACATTTTCACTGGAGCAGTTTTCTGTCAGAAAATGTGACTTCATTTAAACCTTTCATGAGAACTTGTTGATTTCAATGACATTTTTGATGGGAAAACTTTGAAATGATTCATTTTGACCCTCTCATTTTGGAAACATTGAAACATTTTCTTTCAAGAATGTCAAAAAGTTTAGTTTTGACTTATTTGTTCCATTTCATTTTGAACTGACTTTTATTCTATAATATTAATTTTATATCATCTATATATTATTTTAATTTAAATATATATAAATATTAAATATAATATTTTAACATTATAAAAATAAAAAAACTACCTTATTGAAACAAAACATTTTACAGTATTGAAATGAATTTTTTTTATATTTCTGAGTCAAAAAAAATTTGGAATTTCTATTCTGTGGGAAATTTTGAAAATGCAACATTTTGCTTGGAGTTAATTTTTCTTTGAAATGTTGGAAATTGTTTTCCAACCAGCTCTAATTCTTAGTCTGCATGAAATTATTCTCTAGCAGTTTCTTCTAGACACTTAAGCCCAAATTCAATGCAAATGTCTAGATGCTGACCATGAAAAAGCATGTGCACTTGTGTGTAAAACCTGCATTTGTTTGTGCCTACAGAGAAATGCATGCCTACATATCTGTATGCATACACCGCTACCATTATGCATGAGTAAAATGCAGGTTTTGCATTCACAATAGGTGTACACATTTTTTTCTGGCTGCTACTTAGGCGCCTGCATTTGAAAATATGTCCCTTATCCTCTAATTTATTTTTGCTCTACATAGTTTGAATGTAAATCATATGAAGTGCATGTTTTCTCAACTGTATTGTGATTTCTTCTTATGAGCTCTGTTCAATGGGTCAGTGAACGTCGGTATATTTTTCTGTGTCATATACAATAGGTAAATGTTTCTTTCATTTACAAGAGAGGTTTCTGAGGGAACAAATGGTGATCAGAGATGGAGAGACAGTGTGTGTGGTTTAGTGGAACATAGGAATGTAGGACTGCAGGGGATCTCCTGAGTCACTAAGTCCAGATCCTAGCTATTGCAGGCAGCCCCATTATATAATCACATTCATAAATGTATCAAGCTCCATCTTACAACTGATTCAGTTGTTTGCCTCCACAACTCCTAGTGGGAGGCTGTTCCAGCGTCTCACTCCTCTAATGGTTAGAAACCTTCTTCTAATTTCCAACCTGAATTTGTTCATGGCCGGTAAACACCAGGAAGAGAGAAGAGCTATTTAGCTAATGGACAATGTTGGCACAAGAACAGATGGGTGTAAACTGGCCATGAATAGTGGAATGAGCACAGAATGAATTCCAAGAACTTCCCAAATCTATCCGAGTGCTGCCACTAATTCCTGCTCTGATCCTTCACAAGTCCCAAATGGCCTGATTTTCAGAGGTGCTAAGCACCCACAACTAGGATGACCAGATGTCCCGATTTTATAGGGACAGTCCTGATATTTGGAGCTTTGTCTTATATAGGTGCCAATTACTCCCCCACCCCTGTCCCGATTTTTCACACTTGCTGTCTGGTCACCCTACCCACAACACTTGAAGCCAGTGGGAGCTGCAGGCACTCTGCACTTCTGAAAAGCACAGCAGTAACTTGTTCCCCAATCTGCACATGGAACCAGGGATAATACCTACTTCACAGGGATGTTCTACAGATCAGTTGGTTAGGCCTTATCCTGCCATAGGACACCCACTAGGACTGGCTGGAAAACAAGAATTCTATGTCACCAGAAATGTTGAGGATTTGAAATTTTTTTTCATTCCATGTTGGAACAAAACCAAGACCTTTCTAAAATTTTCAAGGGAAAAAAAACCAACAGAGTGAGATTCAGACCAGAGACTTGAACCTGGGTCTCTGCTAAACCAGGTGAGCGCCCTGGTCATCGGTCTATTGGTTATGCTGGGGTGGGTGCTTCTCTCTTTCACGGGAAATTCCCTCCTGGACCTGAGAAACCTTCCCAACTAAAGGTTTTCCATGAAAAGTTTCAGTTTTGACGAATCAGCTAAAAATCAGTCAGCTAAAAAATTCCTGACTAGCGCTAATACCCACTTTAGTGGTAGTTTGGGCTGTGTCTCTTATGGTAAAAAACAGGCCATTACTGTTTTACACTGTTTTTTTCTATATATGATATAAAATTATTGTTCTATGGCAGCAAACTAAGGTACAGGAAAACTCTGCAACCGCAAAGATCCATTTCAGAGTAGCAAATGAAACAGCCATCTCTTTTTATTCCTTTTCTTTATTTCCTGCCACAAGATACTTTTGTTGCCCAACTCACGTTGACATTTGAACATAGCACTAAAACCAAAGTAAGAATAGCTTCCTTTGTATTGCAGTAATGGCCAAGAGCGACCTACAGCAAGGCTGAGCATTCGCAGGGACAGGCCGTTGTCCGTCCATCTGAACTTGGGGCAGAGAGGGTAATCTCAAAATTTGTTTCTAAGAGAATTGTTTTAACATGGCATCATAGATGAAACAGTCTCTCCAATCACTCACTGACAAGTTCTTTCTTTTTCTTTTGAAATTATTTCTAGGAGCCGGAGAATTTCCAGGTAAAAGCAAATATTTCTTCATTTAAAACATCTTCCTTTGTAATGAATTAGATGAATAATGTCCTTGTTGTCTCCTCGGGTAACTGTGTGTTTTTGGTTTTTGTCTTTTTTCTTCTGTCGAATGTTTTAGTCCAATAAAAGTAAATCAGTTTGAAGCGCACTTCACCAAACTCCAAGCAGATTCCAACTACCTCCTGTCCAAGGAATATGAGGTACGAATCCAATCTAGTGGAACCATTTCTTTATTGAATGGACTGGTTGGGTGCTAACTCTGGCTCACTAACCCTTCAGCCCCAGAGACATGCATTCCCTGGTCTTCTTCACACAAGTGAAAATGAGTTTGACAGTCTCAGCTTAGACCCTATTTGTCCTGCTGCCAGAACCACAACTTGATCCAGTTGGCAGCCTCTGTTCATGAGAGGCCCAACACAGGATCACCAGGATGTGCTGAAGGTCAGGACTGAGTTGTGGTAGCAGAGCTGTGTGGCAAATCTTGAAGAGTGCCTACCAGCAGTGTGCCTGGCTCAAGCCAATGCCACCAGTTCTCTAATTTCAGTATAATAAAAATAAGTTCCTTTCCTTGGCCTTGCATGCTGTACATTCCGTTTTGTAGCATCCTGTGATTTTCACCTCACATTCATTTCGGCCTTTTACAGGACTTAAAAGATGTGGGTCGAAGCCAATTATGTGACATAGCGCTTTTGCCAGAGAACAGAGGGAAAAATCGATACAATAATATATTGCCCTGTAAGTTTTATGTTTGGATATATAATATTACATCACACCAGCTATTTTTCAGTTCTTTTCTGGATGGGATGGGGCATGTAGCATATCCCTTTCCTTGTTTTTCCTTGTCCGAGATGAAATACCATTGCCAAGCCAAGTCTTGGTGCTTTGATGCTGACGATGTATGGCCACGAGCGGCTTTACAACAGCAGCTCTCATGAAATTTCACTTCCCACCAGAGGCGTAATGACTAGTGTTCATTCTGTTTATAAAAGGCTTCAGCTGTTCTAGCCTTGCAGCTGTTCTGTCAGGGTAGATAGTAGGAATCATAGAAACCTTGTCTTGTGTGTTTTGTGTGATCAGCACCAGATAGCAGCAGGGCTACTTTCTCCCTAGTCATTCAGATGTTGTCAGTTCAAACCTGTCCAGTGGGCACAAATCACTTATTTGACATCGATAGGTGACAGTCGCTTCCTTCAGAGTTTATAATGAGCCTGCAGTATCACAGTGCCCCCAGCATGGCAAAAGGCGATAATCCTGAAGGAGTCCTCTTTCATACAAGACAAAGATACTGGCAGTATGTGGCACATGAGAATAGGGATAGCCCTGGGAAACGCCTGTTGGAGGTAATTAGCCCACCTTAAATAGCTCCCTGCAATTTCAATGGGCTATGGTAGCAGTCAGCTTGATTTCCAGTCCTAACTTGCCGTATAGTATTGCCGTGTGCCGTCGTTAGTTGGCATGTTTTATCCAGAGATGGCTGCATTTCAGTAGTGGTGAAGGGATCCCGCGGTGGGTATGTCTAACTGCAGCTTGGAGGGTGCTTCCCAGCTCAGATAGACAGACATATGCTAGCTTGTGCACTTAAAATAGCAGTGTAGCTGGGGGTAGCATGGGCAGTGGCTCGGGCTACCCACCCACCTACATACCCAGTAGGTCTGGGAGGGTTTGTATTTGTAGCATGCTAGCTCAAGCAGAGTTGCACTTGTCTGTCTACCCATGCTGGGAAGTACTCACCCAACTGCCAGGTAGAAGTACCCAAAGTGTGTATGGCGCTATGGTACCTCTATGTCTCAGTCTGCTCTGGACGGGCAACTCTGCAGCCAGAGACTCAGGAGGAATGCTGTCTTGCTCAGTCACCCAGCATTTTCCCAGGGGGCTGCACAGTGAAGTGGAGACACTGCTGTTCTGTCAAGGGGAAGAGTGTGTGCTCTCCGCCATGCACTGCTGGCTCTGCCGTCAGGGGCAAAGACGGATGCAGCCACAGTCCCACCATTATCCTAACTCCCTACCTCTTTCAAGGAGCTGGCATCCACCAGAGCACAACCAGGGAAGAGGCTTGTGCTCTGCAATGGGATTGTGCTCACCTGTGGGAAAATGGGGTGAAGTCTCCCTGGGCTGAATCCACAAAGGTACTTAGGCAGTGCAGTGCCTACCCAGTAGGTACTCTGTCCAGCCCTCCATCCTGAGTTAGACATTTAGGCTCCCCATCAATGCATGAGGGGAGGTAGGCACCTATCACAGGGATCCTGTGAAACCATCAGTGTCATGCAAAAGGAAGGAGACAGGACTTAGGGCCCAGATTCACAAAGGTACTTAGGCACCTGCTCCCATTGGTCTGGGCCTCTACTTACCTGACATGCCAGAGGGAAGCACCTCCCTCTGCTCAGAATTCTCCACCATTAATCCTCTCCTGACATTAGGTACCTGAGCTGGGTAAACCCATGCCCTAGCAAATGAAACCCAGACCATTCTCCTGAAAGACAAGAGAGACCCACCCCATTGTAGCCAATAGCCCTGTGTTTATAGCACTCACTTGGAATGTGGGAGACCTGTTTTCAAATCTCCACTCTGATTTGAAACCAGGACTTGAACCCACAAATCCCACATCCAAGGAGAGTCCCTAGCCCCCAGGGCATTGTGTATTGTGGGTGGATCTCTCTTTCTCTCCTATTGGAGCTTTCCACTTAGTATAAATAATTGGAGGCGGGACTTAAACCTGGATCTCCTGCACCCTAAGTGAATACTCTGGCCACTACATTTGGGGATAGATGCTCACACTCTCGTTCGTGTGATGGCTGATCCTGAAGGTGTGTGCCCACATCTCTGGGGTTGGGCCTCACATGAGAGATTGGTGGGGGAGCCCCTAGTTTGAGAATCCTGCTTTGGAGCTTCAGCTTGAGCAATAGGTCTGAGCAGTTTGTTAGCTGTGGGGTGGTGTGATCTGTTAGGCAGCTTTGCACATGCCCACCATTGGAAACCTAGCCCTGGTCAACACTGGGTGGGGAGGGGATCGACCTAAGATACGCAACTTCAGCTACGTGAATAGTGTAGCTGAAGTCGGCGTATCTTAGATCAACTTACCTGGCCATGAGGACGGCGGCAAGTCGACCGCTGCAGCTCCCCCATCGACTCTGGTTCGACCTCTCGCTAGCTGGAGTCCTGGAGTCGACAGGCAACATGTTTGGGGATCGATTTATCGTGTCTAGACGAGACGCGATAAATCGATTTCTGATAGATTGATCACTACCCGCCGATCCGATGGGTAGTGAAGACCTGCCCCTAGACACTTACCGGGGTAGGCAGGAGCTTAACGGTAGTTTTGAGCATGTCAGTGGCACCTACATTGTGGACTGAGGTGCCAAACGAGGCAGTTACGTGCCTATGGACCTCTGTGGTTCTAGCTCCTTGCATACAATCTCGCTCATCGGCTGCAATATCCTTTGGAACCCCCCTGGTGAAAGGTGTTGTGCAAATGTGGGTAGCTATCATTTGCAAACAAACCTGCCAACTCTGACTGTGAAAGTGCAGTCAGTATTTTTACATGGGCACATTTCCATTTATGCGAAAGGGATGAAAATCAAGACCTACGCATAAACCTCTTGTAATACATTTCTTCCCAGATGATACATCGAGAGTGAAGCTTTCCAACGTAGATGATGATCCTTGCTCAGATTATATTAATGCAAGCTACATACCAGTAAGTGGCTCAATGGTATTTTTTATAGTTCTTGTCTCTCCAATGGTAATTTCACCTTCACCTTCTTGTGAAACTTAACATGTAGCTAGATTCTTATGTATTCTAGATTCTCCTTTCATATGTTCACTGGTTTTAATTAAAAGTCCGAGAACTTTTGTGTGTGTGCGCTGTGTGTGTGTGCGCTGAAAGGCCATGTCTGATTGCCATACAGTTAACTGAGGCTGATTCAGTCAGCTCTTAAAACTGCTTCCCTGGATTGCTATAGTTATATAAGAGTGCTGTTATAATTGGCCAAGGACAACTTCTGAAAGGTCACTGTTTTTATACAATTTCTGCAATAAGCACAGCTATCACTGAGATCATACTTCTGGACTTGTACTTCATCCTGAAAGTGTTTGCACCTTGTATTATGGTGAAATTGGCTGAGATTACAATTGTGCCCTTTGCCAGGGAATTATGATTGATAATAACAGAGCCCTAACGATCCAGATTTCAATCCAGAGCTCAATTAATGAATGGCAAACAGCAAAACAAAACAAAAACCCAGTGGTTCAAAATGCCTAGGGCAGTGCTGAACACAATAGAAAGATGAAAAATCTCTGACTAATTATAATAAATACCTTCCAGCAATATTTAAATACACTGGCACTTTCTCTTCCTCCTCTCTGCTCCCACCAGCCTTCTGCTTCCAGAGTTTAGGGCATCCTTTAGTTTTCAAGCTGTGGCTGCAGTGAAGATGTTGATGCCACAACAGTGGTGGTTTGTTTGCAGTTGCTATAAGGTCTCTTTCTCTGGCATTATAGAAACTAATTGGAATTTTCTGGATTTGTAGGGCAATAATTTTCGCAGAGAATACATTGCGACTCAGGGCCCTTTGCCTGGCACCAAAGATGATTTCTGGAAGATGGCATGGGAACAGAATGTTCACAATATTGTCATGGTAACCCAGTGTGTCGAGAAGGGCCGAGTGAGTAGCGAGGTTTCTTGCTTATTCATTACTATTTTTAAATTTTGTATTTATTATTTGTATGACACTAACACCCACGGACATTGGCTGAGATCAAAGTCCCATTATGCTAGGCAGTGATGTGTAGTGAGAGACAATGCCTGCCCCTACGAGCTTAGAACCAGGTTTTTGAAGCTAGTTAGGCACCTAAATTTCTTTGATTGCAGTAGAAGTTAGGTGCCTGCATGCCTTTAAACATCTGGCCCTTGCAGTCTAAATAGACAAGACAGAAAAAGGATATGTGGGGAAACAGGGGCACAAAGAGGTGAAGTGACTAATCCAAGGTCACACAGCAGGTCAGTGAGAGAGCTAAGAATAGAACCCACAGCACAAACACAGTATCCTAAGCACACATGGCACTTAAAGGGTAAATATAACAATTACCCAAAGATGTTGCAATCTCTAAGGGCCTAATTCTGCATCTGTAATCACAGTGAGTGGCTTCTGCGTGACTACTTACATAAGGGCTTCTCAACACAGTCGATAGACATAATGTTGCATGGGATAACAACTTACAAAAGGTTGGGATATGGGAGGATAAAGGTGGAAATCAATAAAGATCATGAGATAAGCACCATGCATTACATGTACTTCATGGTCTATTTATTTAAGGTTAGTATATTACAATTATGACACTTCTCTGGGCCTTTCACTTATTTCACTGTCCATGACAACCTCATAAAACTTATGCTGCTGTAATCAGAATATGAGCCACCATAAAAACATCTTCTATGTATGGTACAAAGGCAAGTGACTAAATTGTAGAAACCGTAAATATTATTTTCTTCCCTGATGCCCCCATATAGACACACAGAGATAATGGTTACATCCAAGTCCATTGCATTGTTGTTTTTTTTTTTTAAAAAGCCAGAGCAGCTTTTTGCTGTTTAGGCCCTGACATAGCAAAGTACTTAAGCAATGCCTAACGCAATGGAACCTTTTGCATACTTAATTAAACATGTGTTTAGGTCTTTTGTTGACTACATGTGCATATGGATTATTTCAGCTGCCTTAATTGTCCATCTACTGATGCGTGACTGCTTCTTGCCTCCTTGGAAGCAGGGGACAGTTAGGAACCCTATGCAAAAATTGAGTAGATAAGAAGGTGTTTAAATATGACAGGTTGGCTCCACCTGTTGTTATTACTGAAACACTCTTTTCTTTGTCCATACAGGTGAAGTGCGATCATTACTGGCCCCTGGACCAGGATTCCTTGTATTACGGAGACCTGATAGTTGAGATGCTGTCTGAGTCAGTGCTTCCGGAATGGACAATAAGGGAGTTTAAAATTTGTAGTGTATGTTCATTTATTTTATTTTATTTTAAAAAAATCTGTCAGGAAAACTTAGCATGGTTAAACCTCACACATCCTGATTGCTCTCCAGTGACCTACTCCCTAGTGGCAGCTGTAACAGAACATGATGTTCACTACAAAGACGTGGTGTGTTGGAACATCTGCCTCTTAACTGTCCTGATTATCCACATTTCTGTTTATCTGACAGGAAGAGCAGCTTGACTCAAAGAGGCTCATTCGTCACTTTCATTACACAGTATGGCCAGACCATGGAGTTCCAGAGACCACCCAGTCCCTGATCCAGTTTGTAAGAACTGTAAGGGATTATATCAACAGGACTCCAGATACTGGACCAACCATTCTGCATTGCAGGTATAAATGAAAGCAGGATATCATTGGTTCAGGAGTTTTATAAAATATATTTAAAAGATCTCTAATGTTGGTGTCTCTCAGGGGGTAACTTTTGCTTAAATTTCTGTGGAACAGCCTTAGGCTTTAATAGACAGACTATGGGCTAGGTGGTCAGGAACAGTGTTTGACACATGCCCTCATCCTGAGAGATGCTGGGTGCCCGACTCGTGCCAGTGAATAACAGCTCTCAGGAGGTCATGCCTCCAGGTAGGACCACTACAGCACTGTCTCTGACACACCTGCTATTCCAGGGGGACCCTCAGCTGCAGCCTTTTGGCAGATTTTTAAGTCTCCTTTGCACTGCTGGGTCTGGCCCAATGTCTCATTACCCCTTTTTAATTAAGAAAAAGTGAAGCATAACTAGTGGTAAATTTGAGCTGCAAATGTGTGTCCAGATCTTCGTAGATGTTTAAGGCCAGAAGGGAGATTGTGACCATCTAGTCTGACTTCCTGCATAACACAGGCCAAAGAACCTCACCCAAAAATGTAAAACATTTGGGTCCATATTCAGGGTCATAGTCTGAATCAACGGTTCATCTCTAGAAAGAAAACAACTTTAAAGGCTCCTTACAAACAGATTTGGATATATTGAACTGTCAGCCTAACTTCATCCATAGTGACAAACGGGGACAGGAGATATCACAACTAGCTCTTCTATGACTCCAAACGAAAAATCTACCTCCACTGTAAACTATTACCATCTGAAATCCTAGAGCTGCCACTTGTATAGTGCAGTTAATCCAAAGACCACGATGGATCTATAGCAATGCCAATCTGTTCCTTGCCTGAGTGAAATGTAAAGAGGGTGAGAGCTTTGACCCAGTGGGTTTGTGTTTTCCCTCTCTTTTCAGTGCTGGTGTTGGTAGGACAGGCACATTCATTGCACTGGATCGAATCCTTCAGCAACTAGACTCTAAGGACTCAGTGGATATTTATGGAGCAGTGCATGATCTAAGACTTCACAGGGTGCACATGGTTCAGACAGAGGTAAGCTTTGGAGATGGCACAACGCGGCACATCTTCATCATTAATATAATAATAATAGTTTGAACACAGAGAGAGTTTCACCTGAGGAGCTCGAAGCACTTCACAACTGTTCATAAATTAGGCCTTGTGGCACCACTGTAAGATAGTTAACAGGTACTGTAGCACTTAGAACCTGATCTATTCCTAGTGAAGCTAGTGGGATTTTTTTCCATTGCCTTCCATGGAGCTGCATCGGGCCCTTACATATCAAGTTCTATACACATCTTAGAAATAGGGATCACTTCACCCGCCACTGAACTGCAATCACCCCCAGGAGTGTAGTGCAGCAGACCTTTAACAGCACATTGCACTGGAGTTACTGAGTTAGATAAATATATTGGGGGAAGGAACATAAGCATTTAAGTACATTGGGGATGGGCACTAAGATGGATAGATAAGCAGACATAAAGGGAGAAAACCATGGAGGATGGAGATAATTACTCAAGTGTTTATTATTTTAAAACAGTAGCACTTTGACCTTGCAGCTGTGTGGTGTCCTTGTACTTACTGGGCTGACATGTCCATCTTTCATTTTGCTATTGGGAAGGAAGATCAATCTTTTCCTAAGCCATTATGCAGAAGGGACTGAATCTATCCTGTGTCTTTTATGCTTTTAAAAGTGCAGGAAAATCACTTTCAGAGACTGGTGGCTAAACACTTAGGGACTAATTTAATAACAGAGTAATGGAGGCAGCTTGTCCATTGTCTCTGTGGAACGTGTTAATAGAGAAATTGGAGCGGGTTTACTGGGCTGTGCAGCCTAATACCAGTGTAGCTCTGTGTTGCAGTTTGGAGGTTATGTTATGGGTGGCTAAGTTTGCTGATGTCTGCAAAGGCTGCACATTGGCATGAGGAGACACTGAATTTTATTTCAATGCTATCTTAATCACTGAAGAGCTCTAGTTAGTACAAAGTCAGAATTTCCCAGACCTGGTTGTGGATCTTCGGTGGCAGCCTGGCATAAAGTCCTAATCAGATGCCATACCCAGGTAAAATGCCTGACAGGAGTGTGGAGAATTCATATACTATGCTGTGGAAACAACCCACCACAGCTATCACCACCTCTTCCATCTTATCCCGAACCCTTGCAGTGATGGCTTGAGTCCCACGCAAGCCCCTGGAGTAGACAGCCTCAATACAGCAAACAGTGAGAATCCCCAGAGCTATCCCAGGGATAAAATGATAGCAAAAATGAAAACTGAATTGAGCCCAGATTAATAGTCTGATCCCTCCCCTTCCAAGGCTAGGGAGTGCATCCAGCACAGAAAGAAGTTCTAACAAACCTTTTATAAATGATTTTCTCCTTCTCTTGGTGCTTCTTCTTGCATTGAAGGTTTCCCATAATCCTGGGGTGGAGGTAACTACTACAAGGGTTGTGTTTAGCAAGCTATTTTTGGGAATTGCTGGAGTTCTAGGCTCCACTGAACCTGAGGCATCTGGCATGAACCAGATTCATGGCTTCATTAGAAGAACTTCCAAAATCCACTTCTATATTTGTGTAAAAAGAAGGTTTTATTTTCACCTGTTAATTTGGGAGAGCCTAGGATGGGGAGGGTGGGCATATGGAAGTGGAAACTCTATTATTTGTAAAAAGAAAAGGAGTACTTGTGGCACCTTAGAGACTAACCAATTTATTTGAGCATGAGCTTTCGTGAGCTACAGCTCCGATGAAGTGAGCTGTAGCTCACGAAAACTCATGCTCAAATAAATTGGTTAGTCTCTAAGGTGCCACAAGTACTCCTTTTCTTTTTGCGAATACAGACTAACACGGCTGTTACTCTGAAACCTGTCTATTATTTGTATTGAAGTAGCACCTCAGCAGGGGTGGCAGGTCTGTATAATTATTGGTGGTGACCAGAACAGGTCCATGTCCTGCCCGCCCGCCCCACACCTGCCTTGTAAGCTGATTATATATATATATATATATTTAATGTTGTAAAAATAGACTGGAAACAGTAAGCATTTAACAATTTCCCTATATTACACACTGGGGGGGTGAGGGTTCGGGGGGGGATGAGGAGTTGGGGGTGTTGGAGGGGGCTCAGGGCTAGGGCAGAAGGTTGGAGTGTGGGGGGATGAGGGCTCGGGCTGGGGCTGGGGATGAGGGGTTTGGGCTGTTGGAGGGGGCTCAGGGCTAGGGCAGAGGGTTGGGATGCAGGACTCTGGCTGGGGGTGTGGGCTTTTTGGTGGGGCGGGGCTGGGGATGAAGAGTTTGGGGTGCAGGCAGGCTGTCCCAGGGCTGGGGCCAAAGAGGACTTCACAGTCCCTCCAGCCCTCTCCCCGCAGCTCAGAGCCCCAGATGTGGAGCAGGGTCTCATTGTGCTTCACACTGTACGGACCCAGAATGAAAAGACAGCCCCTCCTTGAGACATAGATTGTAAACTCTTCCAGACAATTGACAACAGGAGAGCACAAGGAAACAATGAAATAATATTGGTTAGCATGATAGGGAGCGGTCTCCACAGCTGCCTAACTGGCAGGGAATCACTGCCCCATTTCACTCACAGCAAGAGCCCTTAGCAGTATCTGCTAACTGAAGATGCTGTGCGTTGACCAAATTTCCATTGAATAGGTGGGTGGGGTGCAGAATTCTGTTCCCCGGAGACAGCAGCCTTATGTGAATGACAGCAGGTTTTGTAACTTTCCCAGAGAGAGGACAGTAGAGAAAAAAGCACAGAGCAACAATCAAACTTGTTATGCAAATGAAGAGAAATTGTTGAAAAAAAATTGTGGTCCCTGGGGAAATGATGCTTTTAAGGTAAAGAAAAATTAAAAGCAAGAGCCTATGAGGAGGTGTTCGCTAATGTCTATGGGTACTACAATACATTTGCCATGTAATGCTAGTGTTTCTGTGGTCATTGCTCTGAGAGAATGGCAAGGCATGGAGAATTAGCAGTTTATGCATAAGCGAAGGCAACCTGGGTGAATAGCAGATCATATCAGTTAGGTCCTGTCCACACTGGTCAAAACAACATCTTAGCTCCTTTCTAGTAAACTATTCAAACACTAGCCTTAGAAAGGAGCTAACACAGTTCACTTGGTCTGCATAGACAAGGGCTAACCTTGCTGGAAAACCAGGGAAGTCACAGTCAATATCATAGTCTAATAAACCAGTTTATAGCACATTTAAATCCTGTCAGCACTGGCAAGGGAAAGAACATTGACTTTTTTTGGTAAAAACCATCCATATTTAAATATAATTTGTTAGAAAAGGGTCCCACAGGCTTCCCTTGTCCAGTATAAACAGGGCCTAACTGCACTTCCCTGCCCAGCATGGAAGTTATCAGGAAGTTATCAGGAAGTTACTCTTGTTATCAGGAAGGTCGAAAAACATACTTGACTGGGGCTTACTTCATTATGTTACATGAGGCTTAATGTTTTGCATGGGTAGCAACAGTAAACTGGAAAGTTGCTACACAGATCAGTTGTGCAGAACCCGGAATTTCCATGTCACAGGAATTTCTGCTATTTCAAAATTTGTTTAGTTCTGAATCAGAATGAAAATAAATAATTCTGAAATTTCCCATGAAACAAACATTTTGAAAAAAATTAAAGTTTTAGGTCAATGGAAACATTTCATTTTGACTTCGATATTTTAATTTTTTTCATTATTTTAACAGTATGAAATAAAAGCTATTTCAAAACTAAAAGTCCATTTTGATTTGGAAAAATTGAAACAGTCCATTCCAAATTTGTTGAAACAGAACTTTTTGACATTTTTTGAAATTTTTTTTAAATTTATTTTCCAAAAGAAATGTTGGTATCGACATCCCACGGGAATTTTCAGTTTCAACAAAATGCCATTTTTCAGTGGAAAAATTTTCCATTGGAGAATTTTCCAAACCTGCTCAAATAATAACCTTATGAAAAAGATACATTCCCATAACAACTGACATGGCTTTTTATCTCCCTTAGAACAAAGGTGTTGCAAAACACTCCATGTTTTACCATTCAATGGCATCTGAGTGTGAGACTTTCTTACTCCTTTGCAGATTCACTAATTTCTGACACTTCCCTCCCTCTTTTCCAGTGTCAGTATGTCTATTTACATCAGTGTGTGAGAGACGTGTTAAGAGCAAGAAAGCTACGCAGTGAACAAGAAAATCCCTTGTTTCCAATATATGAAAATGTGAATCCAGAGTATCACAGAGGTAGGAACAAAGTTATTGAATTATAAAGCTTTTCAGATTCACAATTTAATAGCTAGGGACATATTGCATTATCTCTTGCTTGGGTTATTATAACCTCCTGTCAGACATTCTCTCGTCCACTCTATCCAAAATGCTGGTGCTACGGTTGTCTTCCTCTCTTGTCATTCTGGCCATCTCATTCTCCTCTTCATTGGCTTCCCCACTAAATCCCAGCTTCACCTCCACACCTACGTCTCTGATCTCATTTCCTCCTGCACCACTCACTCACATCATATATACCTCCCAGTGCCATCACCTTACTACTCCCATTAGCTTTCTTTCACACTCTTTTCTATCTCACACATTATTAAGCTGTCCCCTATGACAGGAACAGCCTCCAAGACTCCGCCTCATTAAAACTCACTCCACCCAGAAATATTTGCTTCCTCCTTCACTCACCAACTGTCTCTTCCTGGTTTCCCTTGCGTATTCTTACCTCACATCTCACATTTGTCTGGTCCATTTTACTTATAAGCTTGTTGGGAGAGAGAAAGTGTTTTATTTTCATGCAACACCATGTATATTTCCAGTGCAACACAAGTGATGTTTAACAGTACTAAGTGACATTTGCTTTCCATTGTTGATGACCTATCTTCAAAGCCTGGTTCCTTTCCCAAGTGGAAAAGAATTTGGTGATCTGACTCCCACCTCCACAGGTGAGAGGCCAAAGACTGAAATAACAGGAGTTGTACAGCTCATGACTGAAGTGTAATGACGGAGCTGTGAGTGGGAACTTGCTCAGTGTCTCCCTCTTGTCATACCAATCTCTAGCCAGTGCTGGTGCTCCGCCACTTCTCCACACATCATATTCATCTGCTAAAGATGGAAAATAAAACAGACTGGTGATTTTTCTAATCTGTTTTCCTTGCTTTCAGATGCTGTTTATTCAAGACACTAAGAATGTAACAGACACCTGCTTTTGTGATCAGATCTGTTAACTTTGTGTGAGTGAGTGAGTGAGTGTGTGTGTGTGTTTCATGCACTAGAGCAGTGCCAGACATTTCTATTGATGCTGTGTATAATTTATTGGTCTGGTGACTTTTTTAAAGATATATAATTTAAGTGTAATAGATATTATTGTATATAATTGTATTTTGGTGTTATGTAAAGATGTATTTTTTCTATAATGTTTATATTAATATTAAGCTTCAGATAATACTATTTTTCCATACTAAAGTTTTTAGGAACTTTTTTACATAAACTATTTTAAACTGTGTGTCAGAAAGAACTGCTGAGTTTGGAGTAGGTTATGTATTGGCACTTAATATACAAGAAAAATCTATTAAGGATAGCCAGCCTTTTTAGCTGACTCAGTGTTCACAAGATGAAATAAGATACATGTCAGGTAAAGGAATTCTAAACTTTAAATTGATTGCTGATTGCTTGTGGATTTCATCCATTCTGATCAAATCACAATGCCAGGGTGCTGCAATGTACCATTTACCAAAACCTCATTAACATCCAAATAAAAAACCGTCCACTTCACTATGAGCAACTGTTTCACTGTAATCTGAATGTTAGTGGAAAAATATTAACATATGTTGCCTTGAATTTTAATAGAACTCTTCTTTTACTCTGATGGGAGGTCTGATTTTGATTTGACCTGCACGACTACGTAAATGAATGCAGCGAAAGATAATAAATAAACTACACATGAATTCACCCTGATTGACATGCAGAGACTTACTTCCATGAGGATGCAAAACCTGGCAATTTTTATCACTCTTTAAAACAAAAGTCTTTATTAAAAGAGTTTAAAGGCAGGGCTGGATGACATCAGTATAGACCCCCCACAGGAATATACAGATTTACAGATGCCAAAGATGGAAACAGTTTGCACAGTAATAGTGGCATTTAAGCTGCCATTGGTCTTTATTGGAGATCACTTTTCCCTTGAAGATACTGTAATCTGAGCACTAAAGATGGAAACAGTTTGCACAGTAATAGTGGCATTTAAGCTGCCATTGGTCTTTATTGGAGATCACTTTTCCCTTGAAGATACTGTAATCTGAGCACTCCTAGCAATAGCGTTTGTTTCTTTGTGTTTAAAAAAACTCACTTTGAAGTAACAGGAACGGGACAGTTCACTATTAAAATATAATGAATACTTTGTTTAAAGAACAATCCTTTCCAAAGGAGAAAAGAAAGGCTTGGTAGTTCGGCCTGCCTTCCGATCTCCTCCCACACAGGTTATCTGGCCTGCCACAAGACAAAAACTTTGAATATTTTTGTTGAGAGGAAGGGGCAGAGTTGTTTGGAGGAGAAGTTGTTCAAATGAGCCTCTGATGCTGTAAATTCTCTGTTCTTTAGCATGTCAGTACCCCCACTCCAGACTGTGTGGCCCATAAAGTTTAATACTGTCCCAACCAGCACTTCAGGACAGCCCCAGCTGCGGGGAGAAAACAGCTCCTGTTCCACAGAATTAAAATAAAATCATGTATTAGGGTTGAGAAGAAGGAACCTTGCCCCAGGTTCCAAGAAGAGAGGACATAAGCTTTTTTTGCACCGCTGCATGCTGAGGCTAGTCCCTCCCTGCTGCGGAAACACCCATGAAAGTGACAATAGAAGAGCAGAGGAAAACACCAAGGCTGCCCTTGCAGAATTTTCCTCAAATTTTCCACTCAGTGGGGTTGGTGGGTTTGGCCAACACAGAACAAGCAGGGATTTCTACTCAAAACACTGTAGGTCACCCAAAGTCCCCTAGATAGACCATCCCTACAGTCCCTGTGTCTCTCCACTCGCTCTGGAGTCCCCCAGACACCCTTCCTGCAGCTGCTCCAGAGCCCTCCCTTTATATGAGGTTTCACAGCTGCTCGAAAGCTTTAGGCTGCTTTAACTGTTTGGATAATTTTGTGTGACAATGACCTTGATTCCCTGGCCTGTTGGCCCCCCCACCGCACACACACACACGCACTGCAGTGACTGAGGCATGAGGTTAGTTCCCATCAGTACAACTGCATGTTGAAGGAATGTCAAATGCACCATATAAATTATTCCTCCCTAGCTAGTACCATGACATTTTTTTCTGCTAACGAAATGAAACCTGTTCAATAATGTGCGCTTGGAGGGCACGAGTCCATGCCTGTAAATGGTGTATAGATGTAGTTCATCATTTTCAAAAGCCTACAAAGCATAGTCTGCTTTTTATTTTAAAAGGTGTTTTCCTGCCTCTATGGCTTTAAAGTGCACAAATCAGCAGCCAAAACATGATGCCCTAGCCAAAGTCTGTTTTCATCATTTCTTTACGCTAACAGTGCCTGTGGGTCATGAACTTTTTCCTCCCTGTCATTTACTAAAATGATGAGCAGCCCTAAACACTCGCGTACTGTGCTCTTGAACAGCTTCACGTTTCTCCCTAGATATCTGACAGTGCACACACACACACACACACACACACACACACACAGTATGACAGGTTCTGCGTGCTAGCTAATCAGCTGACATATTCATATGGAGCCAGTATAATTATACTGAGAACAAATAAATGTCAGAAGCTCTGTGATATTTTTGGTGCAAGCCACCAGTTAGTATAATTAATTATATTTATTGTGCCTTGACATAGAAAGCCAGAACCAATAGGGAACTCTTAGAGCAAACAGGCTGGACTATATTGAAGAAGGATAGCTGTTAAGGAACATAATCCTCAACTGAAGATTTTTATATACTGTAAAGCTAAGAATCCCCTTCCTGATGTTTTCCAATTGTAAGGTTAAAAAGCAACACTCAATGTTGTTTTCCCTTGAGCTAGGATTTGCACACTTGGGGCTCAGTCTTATAAAAACACCCCCCCCCTTTTCCTCATGTGAGGAAATTAATAGCAATGGGACTATTTACATGAGCAATGACACCTACGTACAGCATCATTTGCAGGCCTGGGCCCTTAGTTAATATTTTTTTTGATTGAAAAGTATTTAATAAAAAGTGTGATGAATTGTTTTAGTCTGTGCAATACCAATGCAAGGCCTACTACCTATTTTAGCAAAAACTTTCACATAACATAGCTAGAGATTTAGAGAAGAGGTGGGGTTTTTTTTTATTACAACTAGGTCATTCAAATAAATGATTGCAATAGACACACTGTGAAGCGGTCATGAAAGTGCAACTTTATAAATTGTATCTGCTGCTATAGTTATTTATATGGCTTAAATGTGCTTGATAAATGCCTGCCAAAAAAAGTGCTCCTTATGTAGCGGCTTAAAGAATTTCCCTTTCGCTGGAGTGCCCATAAAGACCTAAGAGCAGTTTTGTGTTCAGCTTACACAGTATGCCATGGCATTGATGCTGTGCCTTGGAAAGCAAAGTGCTGGACCAACAGACAGCAAAGTGAGACCAAGTACAATGCAAAGTTACTATTCCTAAACTGGGTGGTAATGGCCTGAGCGTTATCACCTGGGAGGGTGATCTGCAGTGACTGAGCCAAGAGCCATAGATTGTAGCTACTCATGTGTAACACTGAGGTATGGCCTACAGCAACTGCATGTCCTTGTACACAATGCACAAGCCATAACTAGCATGGCTCACAATTGCATATAATTAGTTGCCTGTCTGTCAATGCTTCAAGGACATTCAATTGTGTGAATAGGCTGAAGCATAAGATGAGTCATTTTGTTGATGCCTCAGCCTCTACCTTCTGAGTGTTGCATTCTGGGCCCCATTGTCCCTGGAGGGGGCATCTCTGAATTAAAGATGAATTTCCACTAGCAGGCTTCCTGTGGCCTGTTGTCCTGTGACCATCCCCTTTCTCCCTGGTGTAGTGACACTCCTGTGCCCAAAGTAAAGCAGCTTATGACTCGCAACCTAGCAGATCAATGCATTAGATAAGATTGGTCTTGTTGAACGACTGTAGCAGAAAATACATATGACTATGGACTAGTGTGAAACTGTGGTATACAGTATCAGTAATGGTGGGTGAGTAATTTGCAGGTTGGCTTTTTTTTTTTTTTGTTTAATTTGAAAGCTAAAACCATACAGTAAGTCAAGTCAAGGAGCTGACTATATGGTGTTCTCAAATAGCACACTACTTTACATTGCTAAACAATTTTTTTAAAGCTATCTAGTCATAAATTCTGTGCGTGGGTAAAGTTTCAGAAAAAAATGGTTGCAGAAAAATATTCCATTTTCATATGCTATATAATTATTCATATTTGTGTTTCTAACAAACAATAGGTGAGCACAGAACTACACTACTATTGTTTATTTAATTTATGTATTTGTTACATATAGTTTTATAGTTTTTACTCCAGGCTACAAAGCAAATATATTTGAGTGTATTTTACACAGCGTTCATGAATAAAACAGTTCATTTAAACTCATGTCCTCGTCCTCTATTTGACTTTTTTTGCATTACGGATTTGTATTGTCCTGTTGTTTAGGGAATAGGTCATACGTGAGTTTGATTTTTAAATTAGACTGTCTTCAGAGAACATTAAATTCATCAACGACTGTGCGCTCGTGAGAGAAGTACATACACCATATACTACTGAGTGGCGGTGGCTTTTTCCTCCCAAATACTTTTCTCTTGGCCTTTAGTAACCAATGTGAAATCTCTTAGCCAAAGTTCATTTTCAGCTGTCATGTCGCTCAGGCACTTCAGCTCCTGCTCTTCCATAGACGTGTCACAAGGCACCGGTACCAATTAGAACAGATCCTCAGCTAAAGTAAATGGGCATCTCTCCACTGACTGCCGTGGAGAAACATAAGTTTACACCAAGATTTGAACCATGCTAGTTAACAACTAGCTTTTTTGCCTTTAAAGACATTATTTTGCTTGCAGGCCTAATATTACTAAGTAAGTCAAACAAGCATTTTAGCTGTGTTGGCCTGTAGTTGCAATTTGGTGTTAAGAACAGGCCGTTCTGTTTATTTGAAGGGAATAGTGACATTTGTCTACCATTTGGTATTCACCAGTGCCTCTAAAGCTACTGCTACATGCGAAGCAGCGGGTGTGATTTCCTGCTTTTGTAGGCAGACTTGTACTCGCTCTCATTGAGCTAGTTCATTAAAAATAGCAGTGTGGGCCACACTAGCATTGGCAGCGGCTTTGTGCACTAGTGACCCTATGTACAAACCCACCTAGACCCCCCCCGACCCCCCCATGGGCATGAAGTCATGGGGGTGAGCCTACCTGTGCTATTGCAGCTACACATCTGTTTTTAACAGTGAGCGCTAGCATGAGCAAGTCTGCGTGCGATGGGAGTTACATCGTCCCCCGCCCCCATCCCCTCCCAGCCCAGCTCCAAGTGTAGCCGTAGCCGTAGCCAGAGGTGATGTGTGGTGAGGACAAAAAGTCAGTTAGAACTTCTATGCATGAGCTAAAGGGCTTAGCTCTCAGTCACACTCTGTGCTGACCCACACACATCTACAAAACAATAGCACTGAGGCACTGGTAAAAGGCAATATGTTCTGTAGCTTGGCAAAAGTCACTAATGTAGCAGAAAGGAATAAAGATTAACCTTGCTCTAGATCAGTGGGTCTCAACCTATTAATCATTGTGGGCTGCAGGTTGAGACCCACAGCACTGCGCCCCCTCCCCCCCACAACCCTCCTCCTACATACACCGCTATGCCGCTCCTGGCCCCACTCTGTGGAGGGGTCTCTGCACTGAGTGGGGCCAGGAGCGGCACCCCCGTGGTGAAGCTGGGTGGCAGGGACCCCAGACCCTGTTGTGTGTGGCTGGATGGCAGTCCCAACTCAACCCTGCCGCTAACCCTGACCCCGCTGTGCGGGGCCTGCAAGCAGCCCCAACCCTAGACCCTGCCATTAACCCTGACGCTGGCCATGTGGGACAGGCCGGCAAGCCCGACCCTGACCCTTGCTTTGTGGGATCGGACAGCAGCCCCGACCCGGATGCTGCTGTGTGGGGCTTGGCTGCTCTAGATACCTGTTGGAAAAAGAACCAGCAGGACTATATTATTTTGTTTCTGGACTTTAGGTTTCCCAGGACATGGCAACGACAGAGAAAATATTACCAAAATCAAATGGAAGCCCCAGAGCAAGGTCATATTAGATTTTATAGCGGGATGGAGCATTTTCTAGCCGGGGGGGAGGTGTCACACCTGGCTACTTGATAGGTGGCCTGTTTCTCATCCTTTTGCTGTGCTACTCAGCCTGTGTCTAGGTTATTCATTTTTTCCTTCCTAGTCATTATCTTCAATGGCAGCTGGTATACCAAACCTAGGCATAGCCATGACTGTCCCACACCTTGTTTCTTGCTCTTCTTCATGGTAAAGCTAGTATGTCAGCAACCAGCACAGTGAAAAGAGTCAGATGTTACTAATGAAGCCTTTATAATGCCCTCATTGAAACTACGTCTAAAAACTTTAACTTATAGAAAACCCCTGCCATTCCAGTGACCAATGCCCCGCTCCAGAGCCCTGTGGTTAGAGTGCCCATCAATGATATTCAAGACCACCATTCAAATCCTAACGCTGTCTGATGCAGCGACTTGCACTCAGGGCTTCTAGCTGAGTGTGCTAACCACTGGGATAGATCAAGAGTGGCCAACCTGAGCTCGAGAAGGAGCCAGAATTTACCAATGTACATTGCCAAAGAGCCACAGTAATACATCAGCAGCGCCCCATTAGCCCCCCACACCCATGCCTCCCACCCAGCAGCAGCCCCACCAATCAGCACCTCCCCTTCTCGCCCCATCAGCTGTTTTGTGGTGTGCAGGAGGCTCTGGGGAGGAGGAGGAGGCGCGAGGGCACGGCAGGCTCAGGGGAGGGGGCGAGAAGGGGTGGAGTGGGGGGTAGAGCCTGGGGCAGAGCCAGGGGTTGAGCAGTGGGCACCCCCCCACCGCACATTGGAAAGTTGGCGCCTGTAGCTCCAGCCCTGGAGTCGGTGCCTATACAAGGAGCTGCATATTAACTTCTGAAGAGACGCATGTGGCTCCGGAGCCACAGGTTGGCCACCCCTCGGCTAGATGCTAACCTGAGTTGGAGGTGAGCGTTCTCATTTTTGCCTGTTGAGTATTTTATACAAAGTGAAATATCTTCAAGGAGGCACTGGGCCTAGACAGATGAACTGAATATCCCAGCGTAGGTGCTGGAACTAGGGGTGCTGCCGCTTCGCCCCCGCTTGATGGGTTTCCATCATATACAGGGTTTATAGTTTGGTTCAACGGCTCGCAGCACAAATTGTTCCATCGCCCCTGTATCCCAGTGGTCAGGGCACTTACCTAGGAGGTGAGCAACATGGCTTCAAGCCCCTTGCTCCAGCTCAGGCAGAGTAGGGATTTGAAGCCAGCGGTGGGGAGGGCTTTCTGCTTGGCCTGCCAGGTGGGAGGGGAAGGGAGAGGGCCCCCCACCCCGGCACACTCGGCCCCTGCCCCGGCAGCTGGGCCCCGGCTGGAGGCAAGAGGGGCAGGACCAGTCACTTCTCACACCTGTGCAGCGTGGCTGCCAGAGAGAGCCAGGCTGGAGCCGCAGCAGCAGGCCGACCCCGCCGGGGACAGGGGCTGAGTGAGTCAGAGTCTCCCCCCGGCATGTTTCTGACTCATTTGGCCCCTGTCCTGGGCAGCCGGGCCTGGGGAAGGGAGGGAGGGCAGCCACTGCCCCAGCAGAGCTGTCTCTCAGGCAGCTGCTGTGCCGCACAGAGCAGTGACCCGGAGCGGCCAGCTTCAGCCGCTTGAGAAGGAGCTCCACCCTGCTCCCCGCCCGGGCCCAGCGTGCTGCGGGGGGGGGCAGCAGGAGAAAGACAGAGACCCCTTCTCCCCCTGCAGGTAACCTGGGGCGGGAAGAGCATGGCAGCCCCAGGCTGCGTGCGGGGGCAAGGGGGTTGCTGGGCAGAGGAGACATGTGAGGTGGTCACACGTCTTCCCCTTAGATTGTGCCCCCTCCCCCCACACACACACTATTGGGAGCCACACATTGTCTATGTTTGAACCTGTCACCCCCCTCATATTCTGGGGCAGTGCTCTGAGCACTGTGCTATTGGGTATAAGGGGGAAGGGCTCTTCCTGTATAGGGTATGATCTAGGGGAGATGCTCTGAGCAGGCCTACCTTGTTGGGCCCTTCAGGGGTTTACCGAGCCGTAGGCTCCTGCTGGATCGGGTGTGAGCTAGGCCGGTGTCAGGATTCAGGCAGCTGCGTGCACAAACCCACTCAGAAAAACGCCTGAGGTATTTGACTGGCAGAGATTGTAGTCACCTACAGAGTTAGGCACCAGCTTATCAGGGGTTTTGAGGCTCTACGTTTTGAATTTAGATGCCTAAATCCCTGCATCGATAGAGCTCATAGCCCTTATGTGTCGGGTTAGTGAGCCCACTGTGCCCTTTAGTCACAGCCCCACACCCAAACAATGACCCACTCCAGAATCCCTCCATCTTCTCCCAGGTGCGATGGCCGTTGCCAGGGCTCTGTGCTCTGCAGAACACAGAAGCTCCCCGTGCTCTCGCTCAGTAGCCTGCCCCTCCCTGCACCGGAGAACTACAGTAGCTAAACACTGAGCTGTTTAAGGGATTTACTCAAACTCACATGAGAAATCTGCAGCTGATCATGGGTAACTAGACAGCAAGTGTGAAAAATGGGGATGGGGGGTAATAGATGCCTATAAATGACAAAGCCCGACGAATCTCAGCACTGTCCCTATAAAGTCAGCCGCTGACCCAGGAATTGAACCTTGTTCCCCTGCAAGCCTAGTCCACACTAGCCTAGCTACTTGGCCATCCTTCCTCCCCCCTTGTAGATGGCAAGCATCAAAGATTTTCAACAGGTGTGGGAGCAGTGCAAGACGATGAAGGCTCAAAAAAGTGAGCTAGTTGTTAGGAAGACCCCGCCTGCAGAAGGAGAGCAACGAAAGGAAACAAAAATCGATGGCTTTAAGAGCAAGCCAGTATGAGAGACTATCTGAAAAGGCGCAAGTAGAGAATGCATGTGCCTGATATTTCAGTTACATTTGCATGCATTTTCACAAAGGTGGTGTAGGGCTACAATAGCAGAATTCACTTTCATAGAACCATAGGATATCAGGGTTGGAAGGGACCTCGGGAGGTCATCTAGTCCAACCCCCTGCTCAAAGCAGGACCGATCCCCAATTAAATCATCCCAGCCAGGGCTTTGTCAAGCCTGACCTTAAAAACTTCTAAGGAAGGAGATTCCACCACCTCCCTAGGTAACGCATTCCAGTGTTTCACCACCCTCCTAGTGAAAAAGTTTTTCCTAATATCCAACCTAAATCTCCCCCACTGCAACTTGAGACCATTACTCCTTGTTCTGTCATCTGCTACCACTGAGAACAGTCTAGAGCCATCCTCTTTGGAACCCCCTTTCAGGTAGTTGAAAGCAGCTATCAAATCCCCCCTCATTCTTCTCT